TCTATGACCCACTAGATATTTAAGAGTGTATTGTTTAATTTCCATATGTTTTTTTAATTTCTAAGATTTTTTTTCTGCTAGTGATTTCTAATTTTCTTCCTTAAGAGCTAGAAAATACTTTGATTTAAATTCTTTATTTTTTTTTATTTTGTAGCCTAGCCATATAGTCTATCCTAGAGTATATGTGAAGTGCACTGAAGGATAATGTATGTTCTGCTGTTGTTGGGTGGAGTGTCTTGTAGATGTCTATTAGGTCTACTTAATTTATAGTGTTATTCAAGTCTTCTGTTCCCTGTTCCCTTGTTAAAATTCTGCCTAGTTGTTGTATCCATTATTGAAAATGTGATTTTGAGTGATCCTGCTATTATTAATTGGTGGTCTGATTAATAGTTGATCACACTATTAATCAGTTTTTCCCTGCAAACCTGTCAGCTTTTGCTTCATGTATTTTGGTGCTCTATTGTTAGGTGCATATACATTTATATTTGTTAGGTATTATGGATGAACTGGTTCTTTTATCATTATAAAATGTCCATCTTTATCTCTAGTAACTTTTTTTTGGTCCCTTTTATTTTATGTAAGTATAGTCATTCCAACTGTCTTATGGTTGCTGCTAGCATAAATATCTTTTTCCATCCTTTTACTTTTAATCCGTATATGTCTTTAAATCTGACATGTTGTAATACAGTGTAAGAGACATATTGTGGCTATAAGATTAATGATAGCCATAGGCCCATGCAAACGTCTTGCAGGGCTGACACTGTGTGTCAGTTAGCAGTATGATGCAATATGGCCTAGGGATTTCCAGCCCTGGCTGGGGAATTTCCAGGAGGTAAGACCACCTCAGCATAGATGGAACTCTCATAAACCATAAATACAAAGCTTACCCTTACCAAAATAGCTTAACTCCCTTACGGAAGAGAAACCTGGTAACTGACCTGGACTAAATACAAGAGAAGAACGGGGAAGAATCCCTGAACCTCTGAGAATGCTCTCCGGACAGAGACCCTCCGGGTCAGGCAGTCATGATACGTGAATGTATCTGACCCTTGCCACCTGCCTGCTCCTGCTAGCTATCTTGTAAGACCGCTGCCAGAATAAACTGCTTGAACATCACATGGTATCTAAGACTTACCTTTGATGTGAATAATACGAAAAGGGAAAAGTCACCTTTGGAGAAGGTTAACTAGGCCCACCCCAAGAGCCCTGAGCAGGACACATGGGTCTCCTGTAGATTCTTTTCTTGTTTTGTTTTGTTTTGTTTTTTAGACAGAGTCTCACTCTGTCGCCCAGGCTATAGAGTGCAGTGGCACGATCTCAGCTCACTGCAACCTACGCCTCCTGGGTTCAAGCCATTCACCTGCCTCAGCCTCCCAAGTAGCTGGGACTACAGGCACCCGCCATCGTGGCTGGCTAATTTTTGTATTTTTGGTAGAGACGGGGTTTCACCATGTTGGCCAGGCTGACCTTGAACTGATCTCAGGTGATCCATCAGCCTTGGCCTCCCTAAGTGCTGAGATTATAGGTGCGAGCCACTGCACCTGGCCAGTTCTTTTTAAATCTAGTCTGACAACCTCTGCCTTTTTATTAGATTGTTTAATCATTCACATGTAATGTTACTATTGACATAGTTGGATTACCACCTATAGTTTAACTTTTTGTTTTCTAGATGTCTCATTTATTTTTTGTTTTCTTTTCCCCCTTTACTGTTTTCTTTTGCATTAACGAATATTTTCTAGTTTAACATCAAAATTCATTAGTGCTTTTTTCACTTTTTAAATTATTTCCTTAGTAGTTATCAAGGGCTTACTATATACATATAAACTTATCAGTAGTTACTTCAGATTTATACTAACAATTCCAGAAAGATGTAGAAATGTTACTCCTATACAGTTCTGTTCCTTCTTCTTTTTTGTGCTTTTGTTGTTACGGGTGTTACATCTATATATGTTACAAACTCAACAGTGCATTGTTACAAATATCTTTTTTTTTTTTTGAGACAGTCTTGCTCTGTCACCGAAGCTGGAGTGCGGTGGTGCAATCTTGGCTCACTGCAACCTCCACCTCCCAGGTTCAAGTGATTCTCGTGCCTCAGCCTCCCAAGCAGCTGAGATTACAGGCATGTACAATCAGGCCCATCTAATTTTTGTATTTTTAGTAGAAACAGGGTTTTTCCAGGTTGGACAGGCTGATGTTGAACTCCTGGCCTAAAGTGATCTGCCCACCTTGGCCTCCCAAAATGCTGGGATTACAGGCATGAGCCACTGCACCCAGCCACAAATATCATTTTAATTAATTTCCTGCCTTTTCCCTCTCCTCCCCTCCCCTCCCCTCCCTTCCGCTCCCCTCCCCTCTCCTCCCCTCCCCTCTTTCCTCTCTTTTCTTTTCGACAAGATTCCACCCTGTCACCCAGGCTGGAGTTTGGTGTCACGATCACAACTCACTACAGCCTCAACTTCCCAGGCTCAAGTGATCCTTCCACCTCAGCTGCCCTAGTAGCTGGGACTACAGGCATATCCCATCACACCCAGCTGATTTTTTATTTTTTGTGCAGATAAAGTGTCCTGACGTTGCCCAGACTGGTCTTGAACTCCTGGGCTCAAGTGATCCTCCTGCCTTGGCCTCTCAAAGTGCTTACAGGCATGAGCCACTGCACCTGGCCAATTTCATGTCTTTTAAGGAAGCTAAGGGAAGAAAGAACAAGTGTATGTTTATAGATTTTGTTCAAGTAACCTTCTTAGTTGCCTTTTCACATTATCTTCATTTGTTCCATGGATCTGAATTATCATCTGGTGTCTTTTCCTTAATAGACAATTCTGCTGTCTCCTACCTCCTTTGTGCTGTTCTCATGAAATATTGTATTATAGCCCTAACAAAATAATTATATACATGTCACTTTATACAGTTGCTTTTAAATCAGTTGAGAGAAGCAATATGCAGTTACACTGCCCTTTTTTCCCTTTATTTTTTTGAGACAGAATCTCTTGTACGGATTTCAAGATACTTTCTCTGTCTTTGGCTTTCAACATTTTCATTATCATGTGTCTGGGAGTGAATGTCTTTGTGTTTTATCCTACCTGGAATTCATTTAGCCTCTTGGGTATGTAGATTAATGTTTTCCATCATATTTGAGACATTTTCAGCCGTTATTTTTCAGAGACGTTTTCTGCCCCTTTCTCTTGCTCCTGCCCTTCTGCTACTCCTGTTTTCCATATTTGGTGCCTTATGGTGTCCCACATTTCTCTGAGGCTCTGTTTATCTTTCTCATGTTTTTCCTCTCTTATATTTGGATTTCATAATCTCTGTAAATCTACCTTCATGTTGAGTAAATGTATTTTCTGCCAGTTCCAACAAACTCTTGAGCCCCTCCAGTGAACTCTTCATATCGGTTGTACTTTCCAACTCCACGATTTTCTTTTGGTTCTTTTTCATAATTTCTCTCTCGTTTATCTTGAGGACTCTGTGTGATGAGCCACTGTCATCATACTTTATCTCTGTACGTACAGTTGCAGGCAGTTTTTATCGCTTGCCTTTTTTCCTGCTTTTCCACACACTGAAGATACCAGTTAGAATTATTCAGTTTTCCTGTTCCTGGGATTGCTTCTGTGTGATCTAGAATCAGTCATTTACCTGTTCATCCTGGTTTTTCCTCGGACTTGGGGATCCTGGATTGTTCCTGTGGATGGAGGAAGCATTTCGTTGTTTGATGTAGGGGCTAGGGAGGGCTCATCTCCAGCTCTCAATGCGTTTCCCCAGGAGGTGTCTCCCAGGAAGGGAGGGCCCACAGTGGGCGCTGCATAAGGTCGTGGCAGTGGACCCCGCTCACTTTTCTCTGTGACTTCCCTGGACAGAGCTGCTTTTGCTTTGCTCCTCTGAGTCCCCTAGCAGATGCCTCAAGCTCTTCCCCCTTTTCTAGATTGTTCCCCCAGACAAGGAGCCTGCCTTGTGCCTGTCGTTCCTCTCTGGTCGTGTGGCGCTGTCTCAGTCTGAGGTCAGTGCCTCTCAGTCTGAGGTCAGTGCCTCTGCTGCTGACTTGGTGTACGGGAGCAGGGAGTGCTCGGACATTGGGACACTGTCCTCTGCCGGCCTTGGTAGCTGGCCCCTGCCCTGCGCTTCCCGCTGTCCAACCTGAACTTGCATGGCCACTGGATCCTTTCAGATTTGCCTTTAAGTATTCTCTTCACTGTTAATTTAATGCAATCATCTTGCTACATTTTAGGGACTCCTCAAAATTCCTAGTCCACATACCTCACTGCTCCCCCTTTTATTTGAGACAGTGCGTTACTGTGTCACCCAGGCTGGAGTGCAGTGGCGTGATTACCCTATGTTGCCCAGGCTGGTCTTGAACCCCTGGGCTCAAGCAGTCCGCTTACCTCGGCCTCCCAAAGTGAGCCACTGCGCCCGGCCAGATACCCTTTGTTGGTGTTTTGATTTGATTCTTATTCGGAGAAGTGGCTGTTTTCTCTTTCATATCAGTAGGACCCTGAGCGGGCAGTGGATACATTTGTTTTTCACCATTTTAAACTCAAAGGACTAAAGCTAAATCATGTCGTCTCCTCTGCTCATTTTCCACCCGCAGTAGTGAGACTGTCAGTGCCTGGGGCAACGCCTGGCGCGTAGGAGTGGCTTCATCAGCACTGGCTGGGTGCCGAGCACATGGCAGTGAAGTGCTGTGTGCTAGGACCCTCCCCTAAAGCAAGAGCCTGTGTCCCTGTTGCCACTTCCCCTTCGGTCCCTGTAGAAGCAGAAAGGCACATAGGTTCTACGACACAGATCCACCCACTGCAGCCACGTTAAAGACGCGTTCACACTGAAGCACCCGACAGTGACGCTGGGCGAATGATGATGGGCGGCTTATATTCTTCTTTATAGTCTTCTGAACTTGGACAACAATTTACTTTTATAATGGTAGAAAACTGTTTTGTTAAGCTCTGTTGGAATACAGTTTTGAGAGGAATCAATTTGTGCAGCTTAGTTCGGTACCCATGTTTGTTTCCCAGCGGTCACCTTTGTCCCTGTGTCCAAGGTGAGCGGGCAGGCAGAGGTGGATGACATCCTCGCAGCTGTCCGCCCGACCACACGCCTCGTGACCATCATGCTGGCCAACAATGAGACCGGCGTTGTCATGGTGAGTCAGCCTTTGTTTCTCTTTAAGGAGCGCTCATGGGGAAGAACAGCGGCTTAGACTCATGGCGTTTCAGGTTTCCCAGCTCTGGCTTCTCCCATTTCTCTGTTCACTTTGATAACATTTGGCCTGTGCTCACTACTCCTGATTTCTGTCATTCAGTTTTCATCAAATCGGAGCAACATACTCAACTGTTTCCTTTCCCCGTCAGCCTGTCCCTGAAATCAGTCAGCGCATTAAAGCCCTGAACCAGGAACGGGTGGCAACTGGGCTGCCTCCCATCCTCGTGCACACGGATGCTGCACAGGCCTTGGGGAAGCAGCGCGTGGATGTGGAGGACCTGGGCGTGGACTTCCTTACCATCGTGGGCCACAAGGTATGTCTGCAGAGGCTTCCTCCCTCTGTGGGCAGAGTCTGCTGCGCAGGTGGCTGTTCACTCCTCAGTCCGTAAGCCTCACTGCCCGCTGTGAGCCAGGCCTTGGGGGCACTGCGAGGAGCAACACGGGATCCCTGTCCTCAGGAGCTTTAAGAGAGGAGCCCTACATGGCCAGCAGGCCAAGTTGAATGCCATGGCAGGGATGATGGGGGTGCCCAGCCCACATAGGGCAGGGTGGGGCGGTAGACCAAGCTAGGGGTGGAGACGTCGAGATCTCAGGGAGAGTAAGGCAGGGGGTTCGGCCAGGCAGCGAGTGTCTCTGCAGCGGACAGAGCATATGCAGAGGGCGTGGGGTAGAAGATGTGGGGACAGGAAATTGTTGCTTTCTCGAATGTGATTTCAGATGCGGCTCCTCAACAAAAACTTACCAGCTATCTTTAAGGTGGGAGTATGGGGGAAAGGGTTAACAGTGAAGACCCTTCTGAAAATTTTGCACATCTTTCTGGCAGCATACCAGGGCCTGAGATATTTTTAGTACTCAATTTTGAAGCACGGTCGTCAGCTGGTTTCTAAAGGAGTATCTGTGGTGGCCTGACACTGTGGCTCTCCAGAGTTCTGCATTGTGTCGGTTGGAAACATGGAATCATTTGCAGGAAAGGCCGCGGCCAACTGCTGGTTCCAACCCCTCTCTATTTATGCATTCTCTCTTTTTTTTTTAAACCGTGATCCATATGATTTGAGATCCTTGTACAAATTCTATCACATGACGTGCGAGGGAGAGCTGCCTGCCACAGAGCTGGGCACAAGAGTCTAGCACCTGCGTTGCCTCCTAGGTTGGGGTTCCACCCTGCCCCGAAGGCTTTTGTGACTCTGCATGTCAAAAGGGGTGACACTCAGAGGCGCCCCAGGGAAGCACTGTGCATCGCGGAGCATTTCTCCTGTGTGCCTCTAGGCACTTAGCGTGTCTACAGAGTAGGTCCTTGGAAAGTTCTTGTTGAATAAATGACCAACGTTTCCTTCCAGTTTTATGGTCCCAGGATTGGCGCACTTTATGTACGAGGACTTGGTGAATTTACCCCTCTCTACCCTATGCTGTTTGGAGGTGGACAAGAACGGAATTTCAGGCCAGGGTAAGGCAGAAAGTTAACAAGGTCTCTGACCTACTGACCGTGTCATTTGTAGAGCAGTGACATTGTAAAGAAACATGGCGCCATTTCTCTGTCTCGTGGAGGCTCTGTGGCAGTGTCCACACTGCTGCTGTCAGAACTGACTCCACTGACTGATTTCACACCGAGGACTTACAGGACCTACAGTCTCTTTGGGAATGATTGAAAGCAATGAAGGAAATCGCTGTTTCTTTTAACTGCTCCAACGCATCCAATTCCCCTTGTAATTTTGGCCCAGCCCACTGAAGAGATAACTGTTGGACCCTTCATGGCTGAGGCCTGCTGCCGTTTTAACTTCGGGGCCATGCAGAAGCACCCTGGTCTCCTTTCTGATAGCTCCTGTGTCCCCTCTAGGTACAGTGACGTGAACTGGGAAATTAGTTGTTGTCCCCACTACACCTTGTGTTAGAAACTTGTTAACAAGAGGCAGAAACAGTAACAGCGTAGAGGTGGAGGTGGAGGTGGAGGAGGTGAGGTGAGTTCCCAGGTTTTCTTCTCACCTTATATATCCCACACTTAGTGCTGGAGAAGCTGGCAAACCTGAAATGCCAGTAAGGGCAGACACAAATTGCCCCAACCAAAGCTTGTCCTCTCTAGTCAGTGGATCAGGAAAGGAATGGCCTAGTAAGACAAAAGACTTGTAGACAACACCTGCTTTACTCCAGCCAGATGCTACAGAGGATATTGTGTGGCCACGCCTATCCATGCCTGCAAAGATGGAGCGGGAAGCCCAGACTTCCGCCAATACAGGCTGTAACAAGGCATCCCACACCGCCCCCGGGTGTGTCAAGAAGGCCAAGTAGAGAACCAGGACTTAGGCACCCCCACCAAAGTGTCAGCAGAAACCATATAGGGATCTTGGACCCACACCTGTCAGTCACAGGGAGTGTCCTCCCATAGGGTGTCAACATCAGCCAAGTAAAAAATCTAGACGTTGACCAGACATAGGTTCATGCCTGTAATCCCAGCACTTTGGGAGGCCGAGGTGGGCAGATCACTTGGGGTCAGGAGTTTGAGACCAGCCTGGCCAAGATGGTGAAACCTTGTCTTTACTAAAAATATGGAAATTAGCCAGGTGTGGTGGCGCATGCCTGTAATCCCAGATACTCGGGAAGCTGAGGCAGGAGAATTGATTGAACCTGGGAGGCTGAGGTTGCAGTGAGCCGAGATAGCACCACTGTACCACTGTACTCCAGCCTGGGTGACAGAGCGAGACTCTGTCTCAAAAAAAAAAAAAAAAAAAAAAAAAAGGCCAGGCACGGTGGCTCACACCTGTGATCCCAGCACTTTGGGAGGTCAAGGCAGGCAGATCACAAGGTCAGGAGATTGAGACCATCCTGGCTAACACGGTGAAACCCCATCTCTACTAAAAGTACAAAAAATTAGCCAGGCGTGGTGTTGCATGCCTGTAGTCCCAGCTACTTGGAAGCTGAGGCAGGAGAATCACTTGAACCCAGGAGGCGGAGGTTGCAGTGAGTCAAGATCGCGCCACTGCACTCCAGCGTGGGTGACAGAGAGACTCCATCTCAAAAAAAAAAAAAAAAAAGAAAAAAGAAACCTAGACTTCTACTTCCAGTTGGCAGTAATGAATGGCATACCCCTTCTGCCAGCGCAACGTCAGAAAATGCCAGCCAAAACAGAAAGGTTGAATAAGATCCAGATTCTCATAATGTAAGGCAAAAATGTCCAGGTTTCAAGTGAAAATCATTCATCATACCAAGAACTAGAAAGGTCTCAAACTGAATGAACAATAATAATACATGCCTGCACTAAGATGATGACGTTAAAATTATCTAACAAATATTTTACAGCAGACACAGTAAAAATGCTTCAATGAGAAATTGTGAACACACTTGAAACAAGTGAAACAAAGTGTCAGCAAAGAGAAGGACAACATAAAAGAACTAAATGAAAACTGGAAATTGTAGAACTAAAAACTGTAGTAGCCAAAATATAAAGCTCAGTGGATGGGCTTAATAGAAAAATAAGAGGACAGGGAAGGAAATCTGTGAGCTGAAAGACAGAACAATAGAAATCCAGACCACAGAGAAGAAAGAGAGTGGGGCTTCGGCCGGGCATGGTGGCTCACACCTGTAATCCCAGCACTTTGGGAGGCTGAGGGGAGCAGATCACGAGGTCAGGAGATCGAGACCATCCTGGCTAACACAGTGAAACCCCATCTCTACTGAAAAAAAAAAAAAATTAGCCTGTCTTGGTGGCATGTGCCTGTAGTCCCAGCTACATGGGAGGCTGAGGCAGAAGAATCCCTTGAACCTAGGAGGCAGAGGTTGCAGTGAGCCGAGATCGTACCACTGTACTCCAGCCTGGGCAACAGAGCGAGACTCTGTCTCAAAAAAATAATGGGGTTTAAAATAGAGCTGCAGGGACCTGTGAGACGATAACAAATGATACAACATTCATTTCATTGAAATCCCCTGAAACAGAGAAAGATAACAGCCTGCAAAGGTACTTGAAGAAATAATGGCTAAAAAATTTCCTGAATTTGGCAAGAGACATAAACGTACAGAATCAAGAAACTGAGCAAACCCCAAATAGCATAAACCCAGAGAAATCCATGCCAGAGACATATGATTAGACTTCTAAAAATGAAAGAGAGAATTCTTGAAAGCAGTCAGAGAAAGATGACATTTCACCAATAAGGGAAAAAGAATTTGAATGACAGTGGTCTCATCAGAAACCAGAAAGACCAGAAGAAAGGGGGACAATTATTTTTCTTCAAGTGCTCAAAGAAAACCATCAAGCCGGAATCCTGTACCCAGTGAATGTATCTTTCAGGAATGAAGAAGTAATCAGAATATTCTCAGATGAAGGAAAACTAAGAATTTGTCACCAAATAGAATAGGCTTTCCTTCTCCTTTAGAGTTTTCTGAATTATGTTTGATAGCATAAGCAAAACTCATAGCAGTATCTCCTGTGGTTCAAAATGTACATAAAGGACATATTTAAGATAATTATAGAAAGGCAAAGTAAAGGAACATAAAAGGAGATGAGGTCTGGGCTTCACTAGAACTTTCAAAAAGACAACACAGGCTGGCACGGTGGCTCACACCTATAATCCCACTGCTTTGGGAGGCCAAAGCAAGAGGATTGCTTGAGGACAGGAGTTCAGGACCAGCCTGGGCAACATAGCAAGATCTCATCTCAAAAACATTCAGCCGACATGGCAGTGCATGCCTGTAGTCTCAGCTACTCAGGAGGCTGAGGGGGGAGGATCACTTGAGCCCAGAAATTCGAGGCTGCAGTGAGCTATGATCACGCCATTGCACTCCAGCCTGGGCAACATAGCAAGATCTCATCTCTAAAAAATTTTTTTTTAATTAGCCGACATGGCAGTGCGTGCCTGTAGTCCCAGCTACTCAGGAGGCTGAGCGGGGAGGATCACTCAAGCCCCGAAGTTCGAGGCTGCAGTGAGCTATGACCACACCATTGCACTCCAGCCTGGGCAACAGAGCAAGAGCCTGTCTCTTTAAAAAAAAGGCCGGGCACAGTGGCTCAAGCCTGTAATCCCAGCACTTTGGGAGGCCGAGACGGGCGGATCACGAGTCAGGAGATTGGGACCATCCTGGCTAACACGGTGAAACCCCATCTCTACTAAAAAATACAAAAAACTAGCCGGGCGAGGTGGTGGGCGCCTGTAGTCCCAGCTACTCGGGAGGCTGAGGCAGGAGAATGGCGTAAACCCGGGAGGCGGAGCTTGCAGTGAGCTGAGATCCGGCCACTGCACTCCAGCCTGGGCGACAGAGCGAGACTCCGTCTCAAAAAAAAATAAAAAATAAATAATAAATAAATAAATAAATAAATAAATAAATAAAAAGACAGTATTGGCCGGGCATGGTGGCTAACACCTGTTATCCCAGCACTTTGGGAGGTCAAGGCGGGCGGATCACCTGAGGTCAGGAGTTCGAGACCATTCTGACCAACATGGAGAAACCCGTCTCTATTAAAAATACAAAATGAGCTGGGCGCGGTGGCTCAAGCCTGTAATCCCAGCACTTTGGGAGGCTGAGACGGGCGGATCACTAGGTCAGGAGATCGAGACCATCCCGGCTAACACGGTGAAACCCCGTCTCTACTAAAAAATACAAAAAACTAGCCGGGCGAGGTGGCGGGCGCCTGTGGTCCCAGCTACTCGGGAGGCTGAGGCAGGAGAAGGGCATAAACCCAGGAGGCGGAGCTTGCAGTGAGCTGAGATCCGGCCACTGCACTCCAGCCTGGGCAACAGAGCCAGACTCAGTCTCAAAAAAAAAAAAATACAAAATGAGCCAGGTGTGGTGGCACATGCCTGTAATCCCAGCTACTAGGGAGGCTGAGGCAGGAGAATCACTTGAACCTGAGAGGCAGAGGTTGTGGTGAGCCGAGATCACACCATTACACTCCAGCCTGGGCAACAAGAGTGAAACTCCGTCTGGAAAAAAACAAAACAAAACAAAACAAAAAAAACCATTAGCTGGGCATGGTGGCTCACATTTCTAATCCCAGCACTTTGGGAGGCCAAGGCAGGTAGATTGCTTGAGGCCAGGAGTTCAAGACCAGCCTGAGCAACATGGTGAAATCTTGTTTCCACAAAAAGAAAAATGCTGTATGTGGTGGCACAGGCCTGTAGTCTCAGCTACTTGGGAGGCTGAGATAGATGGTAGGATTCCTTGAGCCCAGGACAGACCTCTATCAAGACTAACCAAAAAAACAGAAGTTATAACATCAGGAATGAAACAAGGAGTATCACTCCAGGCCCTGCAGCCATCAAAAGGACAAGAAGGGAATGACACAAACAGCTCTACACATAGGAAGTTGACAACTTAGATGAAACTGACCACTTCCTCAAAAAGCACAAACTACCACAACTCACTTGATATAAAGTAGGTCATTTGAATAGCTCTATAACCATTAGGAAATTGAACTTATAGCTTTAAAACTCCACAAAGAGAAGTCTTCAGGCCCAGTGGTTTCACTAGAGAATTCTATCAAAGAATTCTTAAAGAAGAATTAACATTTCTGTGCAGTCTCTTCCAGAAAATAAAGAGGAAGGACAACTTCCCAGTTCATTTTATGAACCTAGATCCTGATACTAAAACCAGGTAAAGACAGTACAAAAAAATCCTTTACAGCCCAACGTCATCATGAATTTTGATGCAAAAAATATTTAACAAAATGTCTACAAATAGAATTCAGCAATACATAAAAAGAATTATATACAGCTGGGTGTGCTGGTTCACGCATGTAATCCCAGCACTTTGGGAGGCTGAGGCAGGGGAATTGGGATCACTTGAGCCCAGGAGTTCAAGACCAGACTGGGCAACATAGTGAGACCCCTCTTCAAAAAATAAAAAAATTAGCTGGACATGGTGGTACATGCCTATAGTCCCAGCTACTCGGGAGGCTGAGATAGGAGGATTGCTTGAGTGAGCCTGGGAGGTCGAGTCTGCGTTGAGCTATGATCACACCTCTACACTCCAGGCTGGGTGACAAAGTGAGACTCTGTCTCAAAAAAATAAAGAATGATACACTGTGACCAAGTGGCATTTATTCCACAGATGCAAGGCTGGTTCAGTATTCAAAATGCAATCTAGAGCCGGGAGTGGTAGCTCAAGCCTGCAATCCCAGAACTTTGGGAGGCCAAGGCAGGTAGATCACTTGAAGTCAGGAGTTCAGGCCCAGCCTGGCCAACATGGTGAAACCTCGTCTCTATTACAAATACAAAAATTAGCCAGGTGTGGTGACAGACACTTGTAATCCCAGCTACTTGGAAGGCTGAGGCACGAGAATCACTTGAACCTGGGTAACAGAGGTTACAGTGAGCTGAGATGGCACCACCACACTTCAGCCTAGGCAACAGAGCAAGACTCTGTCTCAAAAAAAAAAAAGAAAGAAAGGAAAAATGCAATCAAGGCAGGGCACGGTGGCTCATGCCTGTAATCCCCCAGTGCTTTGGGATACCAAGGGAAGTGGATCACTGGAGGCTAGGAGTTCAAGGCCAGCCTAGGTGAACTGCAAGACCTATCTCTACGAAAATAAAAAAAAATTAATCAATGTAATCTACCATATTAAGAAGCTAATGAATAAAGAAGATAACATGTTCATGTTTGATGCAACAGACGCATTTGACAAAATTCAACCATTCGTGTTAAAAACTCAGAATAATAGGATTAGTGGGAAACTTTCTTAACTTGATAAAGAACATCTACATAAAACCTACAGCTAACATCGTTCTTAGTGGTAAAAGCCTCAGTGTTTTACTCCTGTGGCTGGGGGAACAAAGCAAGGATGTTCACTGTCACCACACTTGTCCAACATAGTGGTGGAAGTTCTGGTCAGCGCAGTAAGGCATGAAAAGGAAGCAAAAGGCATATAGATCAGAATGGAAGAGGTAAAGTTGTTTCTAATCAGATCACACGATTGTCTATAAAGAAAATCCCAAGGAATGTACAAGAAAACTGCTAGAACTAATAAGTGAGTATATCAAGGTTGCAGGACACAAGATAAACATGCAAAAATCTGTCTTATTTTTATATAATGGTAATGAACAAGTGGACAGTAACATTAAAAATATAATACCATTTACGACTGGGTGCAGTGGCTCAAGCCTGTAATCCTACCACTTTGGGAGGCCGAGACAGGCGGATCATGAGGTCAGGAGATGGAGACCATCCTGGCTAACACGGTGAAACCCCGTCTCTACTAAAAAATACAAAAAACTAGCTGGGCGAGGTGGCGGGCGCCTGTAGTCCCAGCTACTTGGGAGGCTGGGGCAGGAGGATGGCATAAACCCGGGAGGCAGAGCTTGCGGTGAGCTGAGATCGTGCCACTGCACTCCAACCTGGGCGACAGAGCAAGACTCTGTCTCAAAAAAAAAAAATACCATTTACAATGAAACAAAATTACTCAGATATAAACTAGCAAAATATAAAGGACTTATATGCTAAAAATAGTATACCATGGATGAGAGAAATTAAGATCTAAGCAGAGACACATACCATGTTCATAGTTTGGAAGATTCTACATACCAAAGATGTCAGTTCTCTCCAAATGGATACACAGGCCTAACAATTTCTGTCAAAATGCCAGCAGGTAGATCAGTGGAGGAGAATAGACCCAAACAGAAATAGGCCCATATGAGTTACGGGTGCAGATACAACCACAGGAGATGCAAATCAGTTCAGCAAATGAGAGTCAGCCATTCAGCAGATGGCAAGTTAGCCTTTCAACAGATGGTGCCAAGGCAGTTAGTTATCCATAGGCAAAAAATTAACCTTGACCCAAGTCTTGCACCAAGCTTTTCCAACCTGCGGCCTGCAGCTGCATGTGGCCCAGGAAGCTTTGAATGTAGCCCAACATAAATGCATAAACTTTCTTAAAACATTGGTGGGTTTTTTTGTTTTTTTGTTTTTTGGTGTTTTTTTTTTTGCGATTTTTTTTATTTTTAAGCTCATCAGCTGTCGTTAGTGTATTTTATATGTGGCCCAAGAGAATTCTTCCAGTGTGGCCTCGGGAAGCCAAAGGATTTGGACACCCCTGTCTTACACCTCATAAAATAGTATCTCAAAATAGATCATGAAATTAAATGAAAAACATAAAGCAATAAAACTGCTTAAAAATAGGAGAAAATCTTCAAGTTCTAGAACTAGGCAAAGAGTTCTTAGACTTGACACTAAAAGCATCCATAAAAGGAAAAACGGATAAATTAGACTTCATCAGAATTTAAAGCTTTTGCTCTGGGAAAGACCATATTAAGAGTGTGGGAAGATAAGCTAAATCTAGGAAAAAATATTTTCAAATGACTTATCTGACAAAGGAATGGTATCTAGAATATATCAAGAACTTGCAAAACTCAACAGCAAAAATAATACAATAAATTCAATCAGAAAATAGGCAAAAAATATAAACAGACATTTCACCAAAGACGAGACCCATGTAACAAGCACAGGAAAAGATGTTCAACAGCATTAGTTATTGGGGAAATGCAAATTAAAACCACCAGATATCACACCTATAAGGATGGCTAAAATAAGAATAGAGACACCACCAAATGCTGGTGAGGGCGCAGAGAAAATATCTACTGGTAAACAAGCAATAGCCGGGTCCAGAGGTTTAAGAAAACTTTGTTCAGCCAAACTTAAGAAATTGCTGGGCTGGGTGCAGTGGCTCATGCCTTTAATCCCAGCACTTTGGGAGCCCGAGGCCAGCGAATCATGAGGTGTGAGGAGTTCGAGACCAGCCTGACCAACATGGTGAAACCCTGTCTCTCACTTCTCAAAAGAAGACATTTATGTAGCCAGCAGACACATGAAAAAATGCTCATCATCACAGGCCATCAGAGAAATGCAAATCAAAACCACAATGAGATACCATGTCACACCAGTTAGAATGGCGATCATTAAAAAGCACCAACAGGTGCTGGAGAGGATGTGGAGAAATAGGAATGCTTTTACACTGTTGGTGGGACTATAAACTAGTTCAACAATTGTGGAAGACAGTGTGGTGATTCCTCAAGGATCTAGAACTAGAAATACCGTCTGACCTAGCCATCCCATTACTGGGTATATACCCAAAGGATTATAAATCATGCTGCTATAAAGACCCATGCACACATATGTTTCTTGTGGCACTATTCACAATAGCAAAGACTTGGAATCAACCCAAATGTCCATCAGTGATAGACTGGATTAAGAAAATGTGGCACATATACACCATGGAATACTATGCAGCCATAAAAAAGGATGAGTTCGTGTCCTTTGTAGGGACATGGATGTAGCTGGAAATTCTCAGCAAACTATCGCAAGAACAGAAAACCAAACACCGCATTTTCTCATTCATAGGTGGGGATTGAACAATGAGAACACTTGGACACAGGGTGGGGAACATCACACACCGGGGCCTGTTGTGGGGTAGGGGGAGGGGAGAGGGATAGCATTAGGAGATGTACCTAATTTAAATGACGAGTTAATGGGTGCAGCACACCAACATGGCACATGTATACATATGTAACAAACCTGCACGTTGTGCACATGTACCCTAGAACTTAAAGTATAATAACAAAAAAAAAAAACCCTGTTTCTACTTAGCCAGGCATGGTGGCGTGTGCCTGTAATCCCAGATACTCAGGAGGCTGAGGCAGGAGAATCACTTGAACCCGGGAGGTGGAGGTTGCAGTGAGTCGAGATCCGCTGCACTCCAGCCTGGGCAACAGTGTGAGACCCTGTTTCAAAAAAAAAAATTAAGAAATGATTAAGTGAATTTTTTTTCCTGAAAATAGGATAACGAGTTCTGTTTTTCAGTTTGTTAGGTCACAGTATGCAAGCCATTGTCTTTAGGGGTCTCTTGCCCATCTGTATGTGCGCACACCCCCCCCCCCCACACGCACACACATACACACACACCCCCCCCTCTAGTTTGCTGATGCCTGAAATGTTGAGAACAAAGGTTCTCCCCTGTTCCATACTGTATTGGTTTGGCAGTGAGGACTAAAGAGAGCTGTGCCTTGGGGCCTGCGGGAGGAAGAGTGCTTGCTTTGGGTAGGAAAAGGATCCAGATAGAATTGTCACAGTGAACACCCAACGCGTCACCCACAGTGGGCCTTGTTGACCTTCACTGGGCCAGGGCAAGTGCAAACTTGGCAGGGGAGGTTTCTGGGGCCTGCAGCTGCCATTGAGATAGCCACATGGCGCATGCTTAGGAAAGATGGAGCGTGAGTTTATTTTTGTTTTAACACAATGACTTTCATGGAGACAGGATTCCTTCCTGAGACATTTGTTTATTCTTGCTGAATCCCTTGTTTCTTACAGGACAGAGAACACCCCAATGATTGCCGGCCTTGGGAAGGTGAGCCCTGGTGAGCTGGAGGAGATGGGTTGGTTGCTTTGTCATCAGTGACCCCAGCGGCTCTAGCAGGAATCCGGGGCTTTAGGGAGATCATATTCGTGATCTCATAAACAGACTGACAAGAAAAAGCCTGGAATCTGATTTATCAACTCAGAGATCTATACTTTTTCAGATCTGTGGATTAGTGGCACTTGCTTAGCATTTAAAAGGGAAAAACTCCTTGTCTCTGTCTCTTGTGACGTGAGAACCAGTGATACTCTTACAGCAGAGGCGAAACATCAGGCCGCAGGTTCACCATTCCCACAGGCGTTGGCAGCCCCCAGACCATCGACCTTCTGTCCCTGATTGGTCTGTGGGGTGACCAATCCAGCACCTGCCACCAGCCCTCCACGGGGGCCTGTCCTGCTTCTGCGACAGTAACCAGGCTCAGGTTTTGCTGTGCGAAGGCAGGGGTCCTGGTCATGCCTCGGCGTCTGCAGGCTGCTCCCTCACTGTGCAGGCCTCTGCTTAAAGGCCACCACCACCTTCAAGCACCCCTCCATGAACCACAGCTATATTGGTCCCCCCATGTCCCCTGCTGTCACGCTCTATCCCTGACACTGCTTTATTTCCCCTATCTGATGTTTCTCTGTAGTGTGTTCAGATGTATGATCCACCTCCTGCTTCCCCTTCGAAGGGGCTTGTCAGCTCCACGAGAGCAGGGGCTTGGCCTCAGTATCCCCAGGACAGAGAAAGGGCTTGGCACCCAGGAGGCCGGCCTTGGGAAGAATATGAGTGGATCCCCTGTTACTTAGAATACTCAAAATTATTAACAGTGATAACTAAGGCTACATTTACTAGAAGGAAGAGTGTTTTTGAGACGGAGTCTCACTCTGTCACCCAGGCTGGAGTGCAGTGGCGTGATCTTGACTCACTGCAACTTCCACTTCCCAGGTTCAAGATATTCTCCCACTACAGCCTCCAAGTAGCTGGAACTACAGGCATGCACCACCGTGCCTGGCTAATTTTTGTATTTTTAGTAGAGACAGGGTTTCATCATGTTGGCCAGCTGGTCTCGAACTCCTAACCTCAGGTGAGCCACCGTGCCCAGCCGGAAGAGCCGTGTTTTAAGTGGAGTCCAGTACCTGCTCATACTGACCTGAATGATGAAGTAGTGGTACGGTCCACAGGCTTTGAAATACCAGGGTTCAAATCCTGGCTTGAAGTTTCACTCACCCTGTGCCTTGGGTCAGGTCGCTGGAACTCCCTGAGTCCTGGCTGTTCCCCCTGCCAGATGGGAATCATGGTAACAGCTTCCTCGATAGAGCCTCAGCTCACAGTGCTCGAAGCCCACCAGCCCCTGACCTTCTCCGTGTTCCTGTGGCTGCATCTGCACCTGTAATAGCACAAGTGCCACAGCTTGGTCTCAGCCCCAGCACCACACCCCCGCTGGTTCTTCAGCTTTGCCCAGACCCCGATGCCACCAGCACGTTAGACAGCCCCCCTCTGCTGCCCAGCCTGGACTCCATCCTGCACACGCCCTCCCGAGCATTCTTTCCCCCACCCATTCCTTTCTGCCTTGGTTGCGTGCTGGCAGCCCTTCCCTGCACCTGCACCCTTGTGGAGCCCTCTGTCCGTCCTGTCACTGTGATGCTAGCCTGTGCTCCTGCCTTTGAACTTGACATCTCAGCTAGGCCCTGGCCCATCTCCTGAGAGACCCATTCCTCTCAGTTCAAAGCCTGTCCCGACCGCTCTCCTCCACCCTCTTCCCACCCTGGGTACCTCCCACTATCCAGGTTCTCGCCTCTGAAGTCCAGGAGATGCCCTCAGTCCTTCCTTGTCATCGTCCCCTGCCTCATACAGCACCTGTCCTGTCTGTGTGGACTCCAGAATATACCCACTACCAGCCTCATGTCCATTTTCATGGCCACTAACCCTAGACCAAGGGTCTGGATGCCTGCCATGGCCTCCTGGGGGCCTGCTACTGCCATTGTCCACACAGCCACAGAGTGACCAACACACAGGCCAGTCAGACCATCGCATCCCTCCCTCAGAGCCTCACTGCGTCTGCCCCGTGGCCAGGCCTGCAGGGCCTGTGGATCTGTCCCTGGGCCTTCACCCCCTCTGCACTCTCCACCCACCACACCAGGCCCCTCTGTTCTAGAGACAGAATGACTGTCCCCTGCAGAGCCCTTGCTGAGATGCCACTCCCTGCCCTTGTGCAGCCATCTGTCACCACCCCACCTTGGGACTGCGAGGTCCCTTCACAGCGCCAACTGGTGGGTAGGAGTCTGTTCCCCCCGCCCCTGCTTTTGTCCTTCTGCCTCTTGGATGCTGGCTCCTCAAGGGTTGGGATCCCTTTCAGGGCTGCTTTGCTGGGGCATCTCCAGTGCCTGGCGCTGTCAGGAAGTGCCTGGTGAAGTCAATTTCTGTGGCACTTCCACACCCTCCAAATGGCAGCACTCAAAAAATCCGGTCTGTCTGTGACTGTCAGGAGAATGAGCGGTTTCAGGAAGTGCTGCCTGTGCTGTTGAAAGCTTTTCTGCCCTCCTTCGTTTTGCAAGAATTGTGCTTCCACGTGTGTCTGCCCCAGGCCGCGGAGCTGGTGGCCCAGAACTGCGAGGCTTACGAGGCCCACATGAGGGACGTCCGCGACTACCTGGAGGAGAGGCTGGAAGTGAGTGTAGTGTGGGGTGGGTACCGGGAGAGGGAGGGTGTGTGGGGCAGGTGCCCGGAGGGAGAGGGGGCGTGGTGCTCCTGGAACCCAGGACCTGTGGGGATTGCAGCATAGCCTGGAACTCATCAGGATGCAGTGAGGGAAGAAATAACAGTGGCGGGAAGCACATTGGGATCGGAAACCCCGAAAGTGGGGCCCTAGGCCAGGGGCATGATCTTTTTCAGGGACACACGATCAACTGTGCAGAGTGGTATACTTCGTGGTTTATGCGGAAGGTTCATATGTTTCCGAATATTTGGTTTTTCTCCTAATTAACTTTGCTTTCCGTTGTCTGTCCCCATAACTATTCTGGGTAGATGCTGATTGAAAAGTAGGCACCTGCTGAGATTGTGTTTCTGGAAAAGTCTAAATTTCAAACAGTTGCTGATGGTGGTGTCTTTGAAGGCCACCAAATATTTCACTTATTTTTTTCAGGCTGAATTCGGTCAGAAGAGAATCCATCTGAATAGCCAGTTTCCAGGGACCCAGCGGCTTCCCAATACCTGCAACTTCTCCATCCGGGGACCCCGGCTTCAAGGTGACGGCCCCTCACCCTGGTCTCTCTGAGCGTGAGCATAGCTCCCGCGGTGCATGGGTTCTGGTCCGAGCCAGCGACTCCCACTCTCCCTGCCCTGAGCATGACACAGCTCGGGCTGTCAGAGGGCCTTGCTGGGGTTGCTGAGAGCAGGCTCAGGTGGCTGTGCTGTGGTCCACCGGGCTCTTACTGCCAGCCCCTCCTCTCCCTGACTTGGCTCATTTTGCGGCTGCTGGGATGTGGACCGTGGCGAACTCTCATGTCTGGCATTAGCACCGCCCCAAAAGCTGTCAGGGAAGGAAGTAACATTAAATTCTAGACATTTATCTATTTTGTTGGCAGTTTTTATTAAATATTTTATTAGAGTAAGGGAAAGGGGAGGCGATCAGTTTTAAAAACTGGCAGAGGCTGGGCACAGTGGCTCAGGCCTGTAATCCTAGCACTTTCGGAGGACGAGGCAGGCTGATCACAAGGTCAAGAGATTGAGACCAGCCTGGCCAACATGGAGAAACCCCGTCTCTACCAAAAACTACAAAAAATTAGCCGGCCATAGTGGTGGGCACCTGTAGTCCCAGCTACTCGGGAGGCTGAGGCAGAAGAATTGCTTGAACCTGGAGGTTACAGTGAGCCAAGATTGAGCCACTGCACTCCAGCTTGGGTGACAGAGTTTGTGAGACTCTGTCTGTCTCAAACAAACAAAAAAACAGTAAAAATAACTGGCAGAGTAAGGAGCAAGTACAAATCTGGATTTCCTGCGGCATCCGCCTCAGCTAGGAGCAGTTAGGGTCACCCCTGTCCCAGATGCAGCTGAAACCTGGTCTGCCCTGACTCCATGAGAGTGGAAGTCCAGGTCATTGACCAGCCACGTGTCATTTGGGAGCAGGTTATGGTGGCCCTGAGATCACGATGAGCTGCCTCTGTAGACGAGGTTTTGACTTCTTAGAAGATGAAGGTGTTGCTGCTTTCTTCTTCCTGGACCGTGCGGGGAAACCAGCAGTCATGTTTGGCCCATGAAGAAGAGCCCGTGGGTAACCGTCATGATGGCTGCGTTCGTGAGAACCTGGGCTGAAATGCGTTCTTGTGGGCAAGGAAGCCTGGGTTTCCTTGACCATCTCAGATTCCTCACCATGGAAAGGAGAGTTCTCTGTCAACATTCCCCTTGTTCTGGGGTCAGACTTTGTATTCAGTGACAACCTATATTACTTTAAATGAGACAGAGATTCTCATATTGTATATTTATTTTTGGATTCAGGGTCTCACTCTATCGTCACCCAGGCTGGAGTGCTGTGGTGTAATCACAGCCCACTGTAGCCTTGACCTCCTGGGTTCAAGTGATCAGCCTCCACACCTGGCTAACATTTTTTTTTTTTTTTTTTTGAGACGGAGTTTCACTCTTGTTGACCAGGCTGGAGTGCAATGACAGTATCTCGGCTAACTGCAACCTCCGCCTCCTGGGTTCAAGCAATTCTGCTGCCTCAGCCTCCAGAGTAGCTGGGATTACAGGTGCCTGCCACCACGCCCGGCTAATTTTTGTATTTTTAGTAGAGGTGGGGTTTTGCCATGTTGGCCGGGCTGGTCTCGAACTCCTCACCTCAAGTGATCCACCTGCCTTGGCCCCGCAAAGTGCAGGGATCACAGGCGTGAGCCACTATGCCCAGCCATGGCTAATTTTTACAAAATATTTTGTAGAGATAGGGTTTCCCCGTGTTGCCCAGGCTGGTCTCAAACTCCTGGCTCAAGCAATCCTTCTGCCTCTGCCTCCCAAAGTGCAGGGATTACAGGTGTAAACCACTACGCCTGGCTGAAATTCTCATGTTAATTCCATCAGCCGTGCTTGTGAAAGAAGAGGGAAGTGCCTTCTGGCTTCATAGAACTCCCACGTGTCTCTGCAATCCAGAACACAGGTGGAGACGTGATATTGTCGGGACTGCCAGCTCGTAAGGACGGAGCTGGTCAGGACTCCAGGTGTCCTCGCAGGCAGTTCAAGTGCCATTTTCAAGGCCAGCTTTGTGAGGGAGAATAGTATCTGCGTTTCTGCAGCCAAAGGAGAAAGAAGCGTTTTCTTCGGCTCCTGCTGTGAGATCTCTCCCCAGCTGCCAGAATGGCCGGTGCTGGAATTCCACCAGGTGGCATGGAGGGAGGGAAGCAGCCTGCACCAGCAGGACCCTGGGAGGGGAGAGAAGGGCGGCCTGGCTGGAGGCCCATCTCAGTGGCGCGTACTCTGTCTCCACAGGCCACAAGGTGCTTGCGCAGTGCCGAGTGCTGCTGGCCAGTGTGGGGGCTGCGTGCCACTCGGACCATGGGGACCAGTAAGTGCTCTTCACAAACCCAGTCCAGGGCATAGGGGTCCTCCGGGCACTGGGTGCGGTGGGCAGGCGGCCACTGGGCCGCACTCTGGCTCGTGAAGGACGGCCCTGTCTGGGTCCTAGGAGGGGCAGAGGGAGGGCTTCCTGGAAGAAGTGACTTCTAAGCTGCCATCCGAAGGACTAGGACTTGTGCAGGGGAAGAGGGCTTCTCGTGCTCAGTTCTGAAGGCGCGGGGAGCAGGGCCTGGAGGGGCAGCGTGGCTGGGGCTGGGGAGGACTGGGGGGGGCTGGGGAGGGGATGGCCTGAGTGTCAGTGCTCACTTAAACCTCATGGAAGGGGGAGCCCTGAGGGCCATGGTGTGAGCAGACTCAGGTGTCAGATCAGCCATCTGCAAGATGCAGCAGAGATTCTGGGATAGCGGGTCCAGGTGAGCGGGTGGCCTGCCTGGCGGAGACTGTGGGGTAGAGGGCGTGGGGCACCCGAGCAGCAGCCTGCCGGCAGCGGGGGAGAAGCGGTTCCGGGTCTGGCCTGTTGAAAATGTGAGACCTCTGTGGGAGGTTGGAGTGAATGCAGGAGAAACACCCAGGGCTCTGGGGAGAGAGAACTGTGGCCAGCAGCACGTGGTCATCAGGGTCAGGGCGGAGGGATTGTGTAGGAGCACTTGGAGCGAGACAGTGGTGGGCCCGGCTCCAGGGAAAAGGAGGGGCAGGACAGGGCCCTGTAGGGGTGGGGGGCAGTGCCCTGCTACAGGAGGGGCAGGAGAAGAAAGGGGTCTGGGTGTGATGAGGGCAAGCCCCTTGGCAGAGCCCACACCTCGAGCCTCCAACAGCCCTGCTTCCGGACGCCCACACGCAGTCATCTGTTCCATGGCTAGATACTGGCTGGGTCCCTAGTGTCTGCAAAGCCCCATGCCAGGTGCCGTGAAGTTACCAAGTGGCTTAGATGGACCACATGGGTGAGGTACTGTCTGTGTCAGCATCAGTGTTCTCCAGGACCTCAGACCCCTCAAGGACAGGAGAGCCCCTGGCCCCAGAGCTCAGTGCGAGAGGGGGGCAGTGTCACCTGGGAGTGCCAAGTGCAAGAGAACTCTACAGGGAGAATGGTGGCGACTTTGAGCCGCACCTTGATATGGGTGGTCTTAGGGGTGTGCTTGGTCCAGGAGTTCAGCAGGAGGCGGATACCAGGCAGGGCAGGCGTGCACCCGGCTGGGTAGAGCCCCACTGGGGGAGTAGTCCAGAGTGGGGAACGCTGTGTCTCTTCCATATGCCCTTGGCAGCAGCTGCCACCCGGTCTTGCCCTCCCCAGGCCGTCCCCAGTGCTGCTGAACTACGGCATCCCCTTCGACGTGGCCAGGAACGCGCTCCGCCTCAGCGTGGGCCGCAGCACCACCAGGGCCGAAGTGGACCTCGTCGTGCAGGACCTGAAGCAGGCCGTGGCGCAGCTGGAGAACCAGGCCTAGCGCCAGGGCCGCCCTCCCCACCCCGCTTCTAGGAAGCCCGTGGCAGGGCACAGGATTGTCCCTCCAGTTCCCTCCTGAGGGCTGTGCCAGGATGACTGTCTCATGCCCCCTCTGCATTCTGTCCTGGAGTGCCTGCAAGTGTGCACCCCCAGTTTCCTTCCCTGGATCCGTGCAGAGCTCACAGGGCCCAGGACACTAATGCCACATAGGAACGCCCACATAGGAACTCCCACATAGAACCGTCCTCCAGTGGTGAAGTGGAAACGCCAGCTTCATCCACCCTCCCCACTGGGAACTGGGCAAGCCTGTTGCAAGTGCCCTTTCCTGGAAGGTGTTTTTATCAGGAAGATAGAATCCAAATATTTATAACTCATTGTCAGCCAAATGCTATCATGAACATAGGAAACTTGATTTTTTTGCTTTGATCGTGGCCTCGCACATGTACCTTTCCTGAGTGGTCTCTTCTCAGGCCCTTTTTAGTCCCTTTCCAAAGCTGCCCCCACCACCCTGCTCCTCTGGCCTCAGTGCACAGTGGCCCCCAGCCTCAGCCAGGCCTGCTCTGCTCAGCGTCTACCGCACACCACCCCTCCTGCTTCCCTGAGCCTGACCCTGTTCTGCCCACTGGCACTCAGGGCTGCGTGCTTCCCCATCCACAGTCCCCAGGCCTTCTCGTCTTGTCCCTTTTGATCATTAACTCAGGGTTTCAGGTCCAACCTCACTGAGCTGGTGCAGCTCCAGGTCATTCCTGGGGTGGAAATTGGATCATCCCTGACTCAGCTTTTACCTTAATTTTATTTGCAGAGGATTTTTTTCTCAAAATACTCTGTGGCATTTGGACACACATCCCATGTCGATGTTTGCATAGGAGTCATTTTCAGTGGAATAACACTTGTAATGTGTAGTTATACGGTTCAAGGAACTACATAATGATTTTGAGGAAACACTTGCCAGAAACTAAAAGAACAAAAGATTTCAGTGCCCGGCTTGGGTCTCCTGTGGTTTCTTTAGTGGGCGCTGCGCTTGGGCATGAAGGCATCTGACGGAGCCTGTGGATGGGGGAAACAAGGGGTGCAGCAGCCCCCAGGTCACCATTGTGTGATGATGCATTAGCCCAGAAATCCAGCTTGAGGCTGCGTCTCCAGGAGCCCCCACAAATGGAATGGGTCCCCCACCTGCAGCTTCCCATTGCTGCCAGGAAGAGGCTCTGGTGGTCCTGACTTCTCTAAAGAAGAACTGTGGATTGTCCAGAACAATCTGGAAAGGGGTTAAATGTACTTGGGCTCTTTGGACTGCAGCCCAGAGACTTGGTCAGTGTAGTTGGAGAGGAGGCTGAGGCAGGGGCTGGACACACCCAAGTCAGGGTCCTGGGCCCGTTGCAGGCCCTGTGGAGCCACTGCGTCCCCAGAGATTCATAGCCTCCAGGGCTGAGGGCCAGATCCAGAGGCGGAGCGCTCAGCTCTGTGCCAACACAGCCAAACATGTAGACCTACTGGGCACCCTTTACTTCAGGCTCACTGTGATGGCGGCTGGGGGTCTGCCCTTCTGTGAGAATTGGGGAAACCATCTCCCAGGCTACTCGGGGCTCCTGTGAGAAGCTCAGTGATGCGTGTCCTCAGCCCTCGCTCCGCAGTTGAAGAGGGGTTCGTGCCGTCTGGACAGATGTGAGCAGCCTCAGGGCCAGCCTCCTTTCTCTGCGGGCTGTGCCCAACCCTGACCTAGCCCAGTGTGGGCCTTTCCCTGTGTGCTGCACTCCATCCTCTCAGCTCCAGGCACCTGGCGCTCTCACGCTGTGGGAGTGGCTTGGGCAGGTCCCCAAGGTGTATCCCCCCCACCCCACCCCAACGCCTCCCATCTGCCCTGTGGCGGCTTATCAGGTAACCAGAGCCAGCAGCTTCATCCACATCTGAAACCAGAAGCCCCGGCCTGTGCATGAGTCACCACTGAGAGCCCGGGCCAGAGGATGGAGGAGCAGCGGGCACTCGTGGCCGCCAAGGACGGGGATGTGGCAACACTGGAGCGGCTGCTGGAGGCTGGCGCCCTGGGCCCGGGCATCACCGATGCTCTGGGGGCCGGCCTGGTTCACCACGCCACCCGGGCTGGCCACCTGGACTGTGTCAAGTTCTTGGTGCAGCGGGCCCAGCTGCCCGGCAACCAGCGGGCCCACAATGGGGCCACCCCCGCGCATGACGCCGCCGCCACAGGCAGCCTGGCCGAGCTGTGCTGGCTGGTCCGCGAGGGGGGCTGCGGTCTGCAGGTGAGCGGGAACGGGGCAGCCTGGCCTCCACAAACCTGGCTAGGGTGGAACCAGGGAGGTGTGAGCCACGTAGGCTCAGAGCACTGGCCACCCCGGGCTCCACAGCCCTGGGCTCTTCGTTTCTCTTGGGGACTCAGTCAGTGGTCGCCGTCTCTGCCCCACGCTTCTCAGAACACAAAGGCTTGAGAGCCAAGAACACCTCCTAAATTTTCTTAGGAAGCTGAGTGTTACCAGTGGGGGTCTTGCCAGAGGTCAAGACCCCTTGTCTCTGATCAGGCCTGGTCCACAGGGCCCGCTTCCCAAAGGGTCTAGAAAGGGATCCTTACAGAAGCACTGTGGGAACTCGGGCTTGAGAGCTGGGAACCCAGTTGGGAGACGGGAGTGAGGGCTGCTGATGGTGACCGTCTCGTCCGGAGCATTTCTACTGGGCCCCCCTCCCCTCTCCTGCCTGCCCCGTCCCCTTTGTGCAGGCGAGGGCCTTCGAGCTGTTGCTCAGCCCTGTGGAGCTTTCAGGACTGAGGGTGAGCAGGACTGACCGGCCTTAGAACACCGCCCAGAGGTCAGAGTTGGGGTGGGGGCCGGTGGGACCTGCTGAGATTAGGGAGCGGGAAGGTTCCCCGGCACCTGGCTCACCAGAGGGCCTGAGAGTGCCAGCCTAGCATCCCGTTCCGCCAAGCTCAAGGGCAGCAGGTGGGAGCTGTGCCTGCCTGGGGATCCATTCTGACCACAGGGCCCTTGGAGAAGGCCTAGGTCTGCTGGACCCCTGGCACCTGTGGTGGGAACACTCCCTGGCCCCGGGGCCCTGTGGCCAGAGGGAGGGCACTGGGGCAGGGAACCAGCCAGAGGCAAGTGTCCTGGGAAGCCTTTCTGACCATGAGCAGAGTGGGCGGGTGTCTGTGGGCACCCGGCTGAGTGGGAAAGGGCCTTCTCCACACTGGGGACGGGCCCAGGAGGGGCAGGGTTGCCAGAGGTGGCCTCCCAAGAGCTGGACCTGAGTCCTGGCCCTCCTGTCACCTCAGTCCCAGCAGGGAGCACCTCCCTCCATGTCGCAGGCAGAAACGGAGGGAAGGAGGAAGGAGCTGGAAGCCCCTTCGCTGGGTTGCAGGCAGTGTAAGCCCTCACCTGGTACTCCTCCAGCAGCTGGCTCTGGCCACACGGCCTACCCCCCACTCACTGACCTGCCTGGGCCTCGGTAGGACCAAGATGCCTCGGGCGTCTCCCCGCTGCACCTGGCCGCCCGTTTTGGACACCCGGTGCTGGTGGAGTGGCTGCTCCACGAGGGCCACTCGACCACGCTGGAGACCCGGGAGGGGGCCCTGCCGCTGCACCACGCCGCTGTCAGTGGGGACCTGACCTGCCTGCAGCTCCTGACAACTGCACATGGCAGGTAAGGAACCCAGGGTCCCGCCTGAGGGGCAGCCTGGGGCAAGCTGGCCAAGGGGAGGCTGCACCGAGGAGGGCCAAGAGGACAGGCTGGTAGCCTTTGAGGTGAATCCTGCAGACGGGCATGCTGTCACTGTGGGGTGAGCTGGCAGGAGTCAAGGGCAATGAGGCCTCTATCCACAGGCCAGGCAGTGGCGGTGCCATGCCAGGGCCCAAGGGGACACAGGCCAGCGCTTCAGCTTGGAGAGTGGCTGGGGGCAGTGAGGACAGCAAGATGCTGCTGTGATGCCCAGGGCAGCTCTGGCCCCACCTAGGGGCATCTCAGGACCTAAAACAGCTCGGGACATGGACAACCGGCGACCTGTGAGGGCACCCTCCCCTCACCTGACAGGAGTGGGGACTCTCTGGTGGACTTGGGGACACAGAGGCTGGAGCTGCCTCTGCACTGCCCCATCCCTAGAGCCAGGCGCTGGCCTCATTGTCTCTGGGGCCCTGTGCCCCTGCCAGAACTGGTGGATGGCTAAGGAGGAAGGACAGGGTCAGGACAGCCAGTGAGGCAGAGGGCTTCCCTCCCCACCTGGACGCTCCTCCAGTCCTCGCCCTGCTTACCAAGGTCACCGTTGTCATAGGAACAGGCCCTCTGCCTCCTGCTGTCTTGGCTGAGGGTGAACCTTTCCGTCCCCCAGGGACCCACCTACCTCTGACCACGGCTCTTCTCTTTTTGAGGGAGCATCTCATTTGCCTGTCGCTGCCCCAGAGGCCTCAGTCCCCACATCCTCTTAGCTCCAGGACAAGCCCCATGCTTGTGGAATCGGGTTCTCACTCCTGGGTGTTCCCATCCTGGACCGCTTGGCAAAGGCCTTGGGATTCGCTTCTGTGGCTTTTTCCCAGAGCGTCCACACCACCCCCAGCCTTGGCTGGCCACAGTCTCTCTCAGGCCCACCTGGCTTTTAAAGAAGTTTCCACCACTGAAAACTGGGAGACTTGGGCTGAGTGCAGTGGCTCATGCCTGTAATCCCAGCATTTCTGGAGGCTGGGGCGGGAGGATTGCTTGAGCCCAGGAGTTCAAGACCGGCCTGGGCAATATAGCGAAGCCCTCATCTCTACAAAAAATGTATTTAAAAATTAGCCAGGCATGGTGATGAGTGCCTGTAGTCCCAGATACTCAGGAGGCTGAGGTGGGAGGATCACTTGAGTCTGGAAGGCAGAGGTTCCAGTGAGCTGAGATTGTGACAGAGCAAGTGTCTAAATTGCTCCAGCCTGGGTGACAGAGCAAGACCCTGTCTAAAAAAAACAAAAAGAAAACCAGGAGACTTCATGTTCATATGTACATACACACACACACTCACACACACAAATGGGAAGGTCCTGTACCCCTAGCCTAGTTCCCACCTAGCACTGACCAGCAGCCGAGAGGTGGCTGCTGCTGGCCAGACCATGCCCCTCCAGTGGCCCCCGACCCACTGGCTGCATCATGGCCTGCTCCCAGCCACCGCACTGGACACTGCCTGTTGCAGCCCTGGATGCAGTCAAGGACGCCTGGCAGAGTCCAGTGAAAGCACGGATCCTCCCCCGAGAAGGACACCAAGGCATACTGGCAGCCCTTTGGGGCATGTTCCATGAGCAAGTGTACCCTCAGGCTCAGCAGGTGCAGGGGACGATCCCTGTGTGGTGCAAGGCCAGGGAACAGCCACCAAGGTCCTGTGTCCCCCTTGCTAGGAGCAGAGGAGAGGTTGCTAGGGGGCTGGTACTGGCAGGGACTTTGTGAGGGGAGGGGGGTTTAAACCCAGGTGCAAGCCCCTGGACAGATCAGCTCCCAGCCTCTGTCTCCCCTCTGGCAGCTGAGGCCTGTGACTAGACTCTCCTCTGGGGTGGACCCCGAGTTGCTCAGATTCATCCATCAGAAGTGGGGAGCACGTGTGGGGGTGCTCATGAGATCCCTTCATTATTACCCAGCTTCCCCTCTTGAGAGAGGAAGGGCCTGGAAGTGGAGGGTCTGGAACAGGGTGGCGTGGTCTGCAGGCTTGGTGGGAAAGCAGGCACGAGCCGGAGAGTTGACCCTCCCCAGTGACATTGGCCCTGCCTCCACGCCGCCACTGCGACCCCAGCCCAGCCAGTGCAACCCTCACCTCATCACAGGCTGCCACAGCTACCAGGCACCCAGCATCACCTGCCACAGGGCACAGAGCAGAGGGAAACCCCTAAGGGAGTCGGGGTCAATCCCAGGCCTCCACTGGGACAACTGAGAACCTGGAAGGCAAGACCGTGGCCCTCAGATCTAAGAAGATGCATGTTTCTGACCTGGACCCAGGAGTTCCCAGAAAAGGACAGAAGGATAGGAGAGTGGGGTTGCACAGCCACCTGGGGGAGCAACCTGGAGGAGGGAACCCCACAGTAGCAGCTGGAAAGCACGTGGGAAACTCAGCCATCACGGGCAGGGCCAGGAGTCAGCAGTGAAGTCCAAGCAGCTGAGGAATGGGCTCAGCCATAGGCAGGAACTGGGCCTCCAAACCCTCCCTTCCCTGCAGCAGCGTGAACCGGCGGACACGCAGTGGTGCCTCCCCACTCTACCTGGCCTGCCAGGAGGGCCACCTGCACCTGGCCCAGTTCCTGGTGAAGGACTGTGGCGCTGACGTGCACCTTCGTGCTCTCGACGGCATGAGCGCCCTACACGCTGCCGCCGCCCGCGGCCACTACTCCCTCGTCGTCTGGCTGGTAAGTAGGTGCCAGAGGTGGAAAGGGGACATCCAGGGAGTGTGGGTCCTGCAGCAAGCAGAGTCTGGAGCCTGGATAGGGGCTCCAGAGGGAACTGGGGACGCGCAGGGCTGCTGGGGCATCCAATGAGCTGGTCCATGGCTCCCGAGACCCTGCAGGCCCAGCCAGGCTGGGCCCTGGAAGTTTTGACCACCTGCAGTGCACTCTGCTCTGTGGGGTCGTGCCATGGCTCCCCTGGGGCTCTCCTAGTCCCTCTCTCCCCGGAAGTCCTGGTGGGCCTCCCGGGTGCTCTCACAGTTGGTGGTGGCCCATGTGCTTTGTCTGCGCCCACACCAGCAGTGCCCAGTTCAGGCCACTCGGCCGCTTGTTCAGGCCCTGCCGCCTGATATCCCCGGGCCAGTCCCCACCTTTCTCCACTTCTGGCCTCTTTGGGGAAGGAAGACCTGAGACCCCAGAGCAGAGTGACTGAGGTTGGGGAGGTGCCATCTTCAAGGGTGGGCTGGGGACTTCCTGCCTCTACAACAGAAAAGCAGAGCAGGTGACGCCTGTAATCCCAGCTACTCAGGAGGCTACGGCAGGAGAATCGCTTGAACCTGGGAGGCAGAGGTTGCTGTGAGCTGAGATCACGCCACTGCACTCCAGACTGGGCAACAGAGTGAGACTCCGTCTCAGAAAAAAAAAGAGCAGGGGAGGCCCTCTTTGAGGCGGGGACTTGGGGGCAGAGCTGAGGATGGACAGGAAGTGGCTGAACAAGGAGCGGGGCCCAAAGCAACTTCCTGAGGGGGGCACACTTCATTCAGAGGCAGGGAGAGCCTGGCCCATGGGGCCTGGGGGTGGGCCGGAAAGGCAGACAGAGGTGCTGGGAGGACTGGGGTTCTTTCCTGAGGGTCCTGGGGAGCCATGGAAGGCTCAGAGCCAGGAGCAGCAGGATCTGACTGGCGTATCGGAAGGTCACTGTGGCTGCTGGTGGAGAAGTGCGAGCTGCCTGCCCCCAGACCTCCCACGCTTGCCTGAGGCCTCCTGTCTCCCGGCTCCCACCCACTCAGCTCCAGCTCCTTCTCCAGCAGGCCAGGCTGGCTCTGCCCCCGGGGCCTTTGCATGCGCTGCACCCTGTGCCTGGTATACAGCTCCCCAGGCGCCCCTGGGGCCTTCCCTGACCAGCTGGTTTACTGGGGGGAGCTGCCTGCCCAGACCATCCTCACTCCTGCTTTCCTCCCCCGCGCACCAGCACCGGGCACACGGCACGTCTGACTCCTGGTCTTGGTGGTGGTTTCCACCCGCCGGGGTGTAGGCGCCAGGAGCTCCGTGGGTGCAGGACTTCGCCACCTGCTGCGTTCCCCGCACCTGGCATGCGGTCAGGCTCGAGAGATGTTTACTGAACCAATGGGCAAGTGAAGGAACGGAGGCCTGGTCCCTTAGGATGGCACCCGCTGCTCACCGTGGCCCTGAGGCCCTTGGGATGGGTCCCGCCTGCTCACCGTGCCCCCGGGCGCTTGGGATGGTGCTGGCCTGCTCCCCGTGGCCCCAAGGTCCTCAGGCTGGTGCCAGCCTGCCCACTTTGGCCCCAAGGCCACCTGAATTGGCCTCCAGCCTCCCTTCGTGGAGACTGCAGCCCCTCCCGGTGACTCGCCTGCGTGTGCGCCCCTCCCCACCCCGGGGGCTGCCCCTCCAGCTCCTCCTGCTGGAGCGGTCTCCCACAGAGGAAGCTCTCTTGACCTGGTCCCGCCCTGGCCGTCCTCCCCTCGCCCCTGCAGCAGTTCTGACCCATTCACTCCAGACCTCAGCCTCCCAAATGATGCCTGGCCCCTGGGATGAGCGGTGGCTGCACACAGCGGGCAGAGTGGCAAGAGCTCACCGCAGGGGGTCCGCTGAGCCCTGGGACCGTGCTGAGGCATGAGCGGCCCTTCCTGGGGAGAAAGCGGACAGGCCTCGGGGTCTCCGGGCCAGAGAGGCCACTCCAGATGCGAAGGAGCCCCGTGGCAGCCCTGTCCCTGTCTCTGTTTCCAGCTCATTGTGCTTTGCCCAGCAGACACTTCTGATCAGTCAGGAGCACCCTGGCTGTGCTAAGAGGCACTCACACCGAAGGTGGCGGGGGCTGCTGACGGCTCTGCTGTCCTCCTGGCCTCCCCAATGGGGAAAGCAGGCACACTCCAGGCAGGAAGGAGGAAGGAGGGCGAAGACGGAGCCAGCACGCCTATCACCCCTCTGTCAGGAAGGCAGTTTGTCCTAGAAGACCCCCGCGTCCCACTGGCCGGCCCAGGCCCCATGGCTGTCCCAGCTGCACAGGTTTCAGCGAGTCAGTGTAGGGGACGATCACCGGGCTGGTGCTGTGGACCACAGCAGGGGGCCCTTCAGAAGGCTACTGCCCCAGGGTCCTGCTGCCCCAGGGTGACGGCGACGCACGTGCTGAGCCAGCCCTGTCCAGGGTTTCCTGAGATTGTGCCCTGTGCCCTGAGAGGCACAGCCAGAGTCCACTTTCAGTTCTGCTCTGATACCCTCCCACTCTGTGTGCCTCCTCCCTGGGAGGGTGGCTGCCCCCACTGCTCCTCCTTCCCCAGGTCACATTCACTGACATCGGACTCACGGCACGGGACAATGAGGGGGCCACGGCCCTGCACTTTGCAGCCCGAGGCGGCCACACGCCCATTCTAGACCGACTCCTGCTGATGGGTGCCCCGGTCCTGAGAGACTCCTGGGGTGGGACCCCCCTCCACGACGCAGCAGAGAACGGACAGATGGAGGTAAGGTGGGCGTGAGGGAGACCGGGTGAGCAGTCACGAGTGTCAGCCATGCCCAGCACTGTGTCAGTGACCCTCATGGCAACCCTGTAAGAATGATGACTCCCCTTATACAGATGGGCAAACTTAGGCTCAGAGTTGCAAAGTCACTTGCGCAAGGTCAAGAGCCCGGGGTCAAGTGGCAAGATCCAAGCTCTATGCTCTCGTCCTGCGTACCATCCTCCCTCCCTTCGCGCAGACTCCCTGGTGCCTGGTCCGGGCTTGGTCTTGGTGACAGTCTTCTCAGAACAGCCCTTGGGGACGGACCCTCTGCTGTGAGCAGCCTTCGAGCAGAGTTGTGGCAGGGTTGTGATGTCAGCCCCTTTGCTATTAGCCAGATAAATCTTGGGAGCTCACATGGCCCAGCCTCAAGGACATGACATCCAAAAACCCCATGTAGGCAGGGATGGTGTTCAAATGTTCAACAACATCAGAACCACACCCAGCCTTTGAGGGTGGGTGCAGCCATAAGCCTGTGGCCCTGCACGGATACCCACCCAATGTTGACCTCGTCTAAAGGCGAGACTCCATCTCAGGAGAATGCACACAGTTTACTTCTCCCCAGCCCCATCCAGTCCCAAGTGGTGTCGGGTCTATTCACCTCTATGAAGTCTCCTGGTTCCCCACATTCTTTGAAAGCCTCCCAGGCTTAGGCTGCTCAGTCTGGAGCCAGAAGCGCACTCCAGGCCTCTGGAAGGCTGGTCTGGGGGGATTATAAGTGGAAGTGCAACCGACCATCGCATTCTGGGTCTGCAAGCCTGTTGGCCAGGCTGGTCTCAAACTCCTGATCTCAAATGATCCACCCACCTCGGCCTCCCAAAGTGCTGGGATTACAGGCATGAGCCACCGCGCCCAGCCTAGTTATTCTTTGAATGGTGTGAATTACACTAATTATTTTTAAAAATTGTTAAATTGTGATTTAAAAATGCATAACATAAAATTTACCGTGTTAACCATTTTCAAGCATACACTTGAGCAGCATTAAGTCTGTTCACATTATGGTGCAGCAGAATCTCCACAACTTTATCATTTCGCAAAACTGAGACTCTAGCCATCAAACAGCAATTCTCCATCTCCCTTTTCTCCCAGCCTCTGGCAACCAACATTCTACTTTGTTTTTTTATGACCTTGATGACTTAGGATACCTCATGTAAGTGGAATTGTACAGTATTTATCCATTTGTCTCTGGCTTAGTTCACTTAGTATAATGTCCTCAAGGTTCATCCCTGTTGTAACATGCCAGAATTTCCTTTTTTATGGCTAAATAATATTCCATTGTATGTATATACCACATTTTCTTTCTCTATTCATCTGTTAATGGACATTTGGGTTTTTCTGCCCTTTGACTGTTGTGAATCATGCTACTATGAACATGGGTGTGTAAATATCTCTGAGATCCACCCTTCAAATCTTTTGGATATGTATACCCAGCATTAGAATACCTGGATCTACCCTGATTACTTTAAAATGTTACACTGACCTTGCATTCCTGGAATAAATTCAATGACATATTATTCCTTTTGAATATAGCTCAATTCAATTTGCTAACATTTTGTTTAGGATTTTTTGGCCTTATATTCTTGAGTAAAATTGGCATGGAATATCCTTTTTTAGTTTTATCCTTATTATATTTTGGTATCAAAATATGCTATGAATTAGGGAATGTTTCCTCTTTTCCTATTTTTTGAGACATTTTGGTTACATTAGACTTATTTTTTTATTTAAAGATTTTGTGGAATTCACTAGTGAAATCCTCTGGATCTGGCTGTTTCTTTGAGGGAAGGTTTTTAATTATTAATTCAATTTATTTATTTATTTATTTATTTATTTTATTTTTTTTTTTTTTTGAGACGGAGTCTTGCTCTGTAGCCCGGGCTGGACTGCAGTGGCCGGATCTCAGCTCACTGCAAGCTCCGCCTCCCGGGTTTACGCCATTCTCCTGCCTCAGCCTCCGGAGTAGCTGGGACTACAGGCGCCCGCCACCTCGCCCGGCTAGTTTTTTGTATTTTTAGTAGAGACGGGGTTTCACCGTGTTAGCCAGGATGGTCTCGATCTCCTGACCTCGTGATCCGCCCGTCTCGGCCTCCCAAAGTGCTGGGATTACAGGCTTGAGCCACCGCGCCCGGCCAATTCAATTTATTTAATTATAGAACTACTAGGGCTTTCTATTTCTTATGTGTTGGTTTCATCAAATTGTATTTTTCTAGGATTTATTTCCTAGAAATGTTCTAGGAATCAATTTTATCTAAGTTATTAAGTGTATTAGCATAAAGTTATTTTTAATATCCTGATGATCCTTTATTGTCTGTATGTAGTTAAGTTCCCCGTTTTTAATTCCTGATATTGGTTATTTTCTTCTTTCTTTTTTTGTCTCAATCAGCCTCACTAGATATTAGTCACTAGTTTTTCCAACAGTCAGGTTGTAACTTGTTCAGGGTCCTCCAAAAAGCATTTAATTGTCTCCAACGTATTTTTTTTATTTCATTAATTTCTACATTTATCTTTGCTATTACTTTCTTTCCTAAATTACTGAGATGGGTGCCTACTTCACTTACTTTTCAACCTTTTTTCTTTTCTAATATATTTATCGAAGGCTATAAATTTTCCTCTAAGTACTGCTTTAGCTGTATCCCACTGTTTGATAATTGTTCAGTTAAAAAATATTTTCTAATTCCCATTTTGATTCTTATTTGCCCTAGGGATTCCTTGGAATTATGTTTCTTAATTTCCAAATATGAAGGTGTTCCTTCCGGCTATCTATTTGTTATTAATTTCTGTCCAAATTGCATTGTGGTCAGAAAATATACTCTGGTGATTTCAATCTTTTGATTTTTTGATAAGTTACTTTATTGCCCTGTGTATGGTCAATTTTGTCAATGTTGCATGTGTTCTTGGAAAGACTGTAGAGTTTGCAGGCTGTTCTCTACATGTCATTATATCATTGTGTTCTTCAGATCTCCATAGGTATACATTTTAGTTTATTGGATTTCAAATGGCTCGAGAGAAGTGTGTAAACATTCCTGGCTATTATTCTGGATTTGTCTGTGTTTCCCTATAATCCTATCACCATTTGTTTTGTATATTTTGAACCTCATATCTAGTCTGTTTTATCTGATATATGTATACACATGACTTTTCTTTCTATACTCGTTTAATGGTGAGACTTATTCATACTTTACTTTCAGCCTTCTGAATCCTTATGTTTGCCAGTACCTCTGGTTAGCCACATGCAGTCACATTTAGTTTTTTTCATCAGCCTGACAGTCTTTGTCTATTGGTGCATTTAGACCATCTACAGTCATATAATTACTAATGTTTAGGGGTTTATTTTTACTCTCTTATTTTGAGGAGATGTTATCTGGCTGCCTGGGTTTTTCTTTATTTAAAAGTAGTAAGCACTTTTGTTTTTGTCTGTTCTCAGAGATTTATTTCTATTTCTTTGTGGGCTGGGTCTTCTGGTTCTCATTCATGGTATCCTGTTTCCTTGTATTTTTTATTTTTGTTGACGTATGCTGACATTAAATATGAAAAATGAAGTGTAGGCATAACTGGAGGCCTTGGCAATATCTTATTTGCCTTTGCTGGGCACATGTGGGCTCAGGATCATCGTAATCTGCATTCCAGACAGGAAGTTCCCAGGACCACCTCCATGATAGGAAGCAGGGGCCTGACTGGCATCTGGCTTCCGTTTTCTCTGAGGGTAGAGCCCTTGGCCTACATCGGGAGGTGGTCAACCAGAGCCCCCACCCTTGACAGAACCCGCACTGTTCCTGGCCTCCCTGGTCCCCTGAGGCTGCTGGAGGACAGTGTTCTTCTGGCATCAGCCCAGGCTCAGGGCAAGGGCAGTTCTGAGTGCTGGGCTCCCCCACCACCCCCCTACCCCCAAGGCTTTCCTTTTCCCCTGAGTGTGGCCGGATCACTCCTCCCTGACTTCTGTGTTACCTTACGGAGGCTGTTGGCAGGTGACTTTTACAGAGAATCCGTGTTTCATGTCTTTGGGCAGTGGGTTGGTTTGACCCACCTGGTTCTCTCCTCCCTGGAGTAGTGGATCCATCTGCTCACCTGCCTTTCCACTGGTGTGGCCTCTGCACAGACTTCCGGACAGAGTTCCATCTGTCTGCTGACAATCCCAGCGGCGATGGGGTCCATTACTCTGGGGGAGATGTTCCCTTCCTCCTCCCCATAGCTCTGTTCCTGTCAGGGCCATGCCCTCTCTCCCCAGCACCATCTGGGGCCAGGTCTGACACCTGTCCCCCTCTGCCGTGACACCCCTCATACTCCTGCAGACCCCATAACTCCCCTCCTCTGCATCCTGGCCTCCTCTTCCCAGCAACAGCTCCTTGGGGATGCTCTGCCTCCACCCACCCACACACCCACTGCGTCCTGGCAGACTTTTGCCATTCCCCCAGCCCAGAGCCTCCGGGAGCAGTGCCTCTCCCAGGGACTGGCTTCAGCAACCGGCCCCAGCCTCCCCAGCCCCAGCCTCCTTGCACATCTGACAAATACTTCCTGCTTCCTCAGCCACACCAGCCACTGGCTCAGCCCTTCTGGTCCTCCAAGAGCCTTCAGGCGTTATCTGGTTCAAGCCTCCCAGCAGGCCCCAAGGAAGGGGTGTGCGCACACCTGATTTTGTGTGGCCCCACAAGCTCAAAATAGTTCTCCCCTTTTTAAATGGGGAAAAAGCAAAAGAATCACATCTCATGTCACATGAAACTCATCTGAAGTTAAAAGTGTCCACAAATAAAGCCTCATGTGCAACCGGCCCTGCTATGGGTGGCAGCTTTCACACCACAACCAGGGTTGCGTATTTGTGCCAGAGCTGGCAGCCCCCAGCCTGAGCTGCTTACTCTCTGGAGGGCAGCGCGGCACCCAGGAAGGCAGGCAGTGCACGAGCAGACACCTGAGTCCACGGCTTAGAGGCACAGGGTCATTATCCTCAGGCAGTGACAAGCCCGTGGCTCTGTGGTTCTGGAGCAGGTCTTGTGGATCTGCAGGGCTTCCAGGACGCAGGGCTCTTTCCATCTTCGTGTCCACCTTCCTCTGGTGGTGCCGTGGCCTCTTCAGGCTGTGGCCACCTTGGAGGCCATGGAACTCAGGGCAGAGGAAGGAGGGGAAGGGAAGCTGTCCAGAGAAGAATTCCCCCAGGACGAGGCACTCACCCTTGAGGTCTCGAGCTGACCTGCTAGCTGCACAGCTGGGTGTCGGTAGGGGCCGGGGCGAGGAAGGCTGGTGGTATCGACCATAGATCAGTGCAGCTGTCCCTACTTTACAGACAGGCCCAGTTAGCTGGCCAGGTTCTCTGACCAGCAAGTCACAGAGCCAGATGAGCTCAAGGCCACTGGACTTCGCTGCCAGGCCCCCTGCCACACACAACAGCGTCACGTTGCGTTTACTCACGGCAGGCACACCCGCCGCTCCACATGCATGCTGAACCTGTATTTATCTGTAGAGAATGAACACTAATTGCACCTTTTATAGGTGAGGCACCTGCAGTCCAGGGAGGAGCTGAAATTTCCTTTGGGGTCTCACAACTTTTTTGAGATGGAGTTTCACTCTTGTTGCCCAGGCTGGAGTGCAGTGGTGCCATCTTGGTTCACTGCAACTTCCGCCTCCCGGCTTTAAGCAGTTCTCCTGCCTCAGCCTCCTGAGTAGTTGGGATTAGAGGCACCTGCCACCACACCTGGCTAATTTTTTGTATTTAGTAGAAACAGGGTTTCACCATGTTGGTCAGGCTGGTCTGGAACTCCTGACCTCAGGTGATCCACCCGCGTTGGCCTCAAGTGCTGGGATTACAAGTGTGAGCCACCGCGCCCGGCCAAGGGTCTCACAACTTCTTACTTAGTTCAATTCAGTGTCACCCAAAGATGCTGAGGCCCAGCTGGTCTATCTCAGAGATACGTTTGCGTCAAAGGCACAGTTTTGTGAACACAGCATTCGCCTCACTCAAGTTCGTTTTTGTGTTTCCCTAGTACCACCAAAGAGACACAGAAATATTTATAGAATAAATATATACAGAATAAAGTACAGAATTCATTATTGAGGTCCTCTGACCCTCTCCCATCTGAATCCTTCACAGGCCCAGATGTCCTGCAGCCTTCCAGTCCTGTGGACTCCCTCCCCAGCTTCCTTCCCTCCCCTCTTCCTCCCCATTCCCATCACAAAAGCCCATCAGGTACAAGGAGACAGGAGGGCCCTGGCCCCAGGTTGGCTGGGTAGGAGCATGCAGTGTGGCTGGCAAAGGTGGTGAGCAGCCTTGATCAGGCATGAGCTGGTACTCCGGGTGCCAGGGGGGAACCTCATGGGGCCAGGAGGATGGTCCTATGGAGAGTGGGGCTGTGGTGGGAGGTGGCCCTGAGTCCCCGGGGCGGGGACCGGTTGCTTGTCTCTCTGAGCCTTGTTTGTTCACGTGCGTTGATCCACATCTCCAAGGGTGGCAAACATGGAAACTGGTTCTGCATTTAATGCCTAGGCGATGGCAGCTGTGAGGGGTCTGGACGGGGCACCCTGATGCCTGTCAGCTCAGCACTGCTTCATATGCAGTGCCTGGTACTGTCTGTGCCAGGACAGGGTGGCTGTGGGATGAGGCTTGGGTGCTCCTAGGCAGGTCTCTGGAACCCCACGGCCCAGATTCAAGCCCTGCCCCTGCTGGGAAGGGCATCAGGGCAGCCTGTGCCATGGGGCCAGGGGAGCGGCCTGCACAGGGCCAGCCCATGGGCACCTGGTGAGTGTCACGGTGGGTCACACGTGTGCCCTCCTCACTGCAGTGCTGCCAGACCCTAGTCTCCCACCACGTGGATCCCTCCCTGCGGGATGAAGATGGTTACACGGCGGCGGACCTGGCAGAGTACCACGGACACCGGGACTGTGCCCAGTACCTGCGGGAGGTGGCCCAGCCGGTAAGGCTCAGGGTCCCCAGCTGCCCTGGAGGCATGGAGGGTGGGCCCAGATCCCAGCCAGGACCCCACTGCTGAACCTGCAGCATAGTCAGCTGGGAAGCTCACCATATCCAACTCATACATGGCATCGGAGCCAGGAGCAAGGGCCTGGGCAGGACTGAGGTGCCACAGGGCAGCCAGTGCTAGGGTCAGGCTGTGACAGGAGCTGTGACAGGGGCCAGGACAGGGGCTGTGACGGGTGGGGCCAGGGCTGTGACAAGGACAGGGGCTGTAACGGGGATCAGGAGAGAGGGCATGTGATGGCCTGGGGCCATGGCTGTGGCCAGGGCCCAGCCTGGGCTTGTGGCTGGAACTTGGCCAGGTCATGCCATTCGTCTGGGTCACAGAGACCACACCTGTGACTCAAGAGCCTCCGTGGCCAGGGTTCCTCATGGGTGATGTACGTCAGACTGAGGAGCCCCAGGAGTGGGAGCAGAACCTCCCAGAGGTGACCGCAAGGCAGCCAACAGCCCTGCAGCAGCCGGAAGGCAGCAGATTCCAGCCCTGGCTCTTGTCTCTCAGCCTGGGACCCCACAGTCTCTCATTTCCCCATTTGTAAGGACAGGGATCTTGTCTGTCCCACTAGTCCCCAGCCCTTAGCACATGACAGGGCTCAACAAGTGTTTACTGAATGAACAAATGAACAAATGGACAGAAAAGCAGGTGGATGCATGAGGGTGAACAGAGGAAGGGATGGATGGGGAGGGAACAGACAGAGGAGGAATGGATGGGGCAAGGAGGCCAAAGGAGTGAGAAATGAGGAGAGGGCTACATGGAGAGGGGAGAGCTCAGGAGGGCGGACGGAGAAGAGATGGGTGGAAGAGGAGTGGACGAAGAAGGGTGGAAGGAGGAGGGTGGATGGAGGAGAGATGGACAGAGGAAGATGGATGGAGGAGGAATGCGTGGAGGAGGAATGGATGGAGGAGGAATGGATAGAGGAGGGTGGATGGAGGAGGAATGGATAGAGGAGGGTGGATGGAGGAGAGATGGACAGAGGAGGGTGGATGGAGGAGGAATGCGTGGAGGAGGAATGGATGGAGGAGGTGGATGAGGAGGAATATGTGGGAGGAGGAATGGATGGAGGAGGGTGAATGGAGGAGGAATGGATGGAGGAGGTGGATGGAGGAGAGATGGACAGAGGAGGGTGGATGGAGGAGGAATGCAGGTGGAGGAGGTTTGATGGAGGAGGGTGAATGAGGAGAATGATAGAGGAGGGTGAATGGAGGAGAGATGATGAGGAGGGTGGATGGAGGAGGAATGGATAGAGGAGGGTGGATGAGGAGGGTGATGGAGGAGGGAATGGGTGGAGGAGGGTGAATGAGGAGGAATGGATGGAAAAGGATGGATGGAGAGGATGGAGGAGGGTGGATGGAGAGGAATGGATGGAGAAATGGATGGAGGAGGGTGGATGGAGGAGGAATGGATGGAGGAATGGATGGAGGAGGGTGGATGGGAGGAGGGGTGGATGAAGAGGGTGGATGAGGAGGGTGGATGGAGGAGGAATAGATGGAGGAGGGATGGAAGAGGGTGGATGGAGGAGGGAAATGGAGGAAGGTAGACAGAGGAGGCTGGATGGAAGAGGGTGCATGGAAGAGGGTGGATGGAGGAGAGTGGTTGGAGGAGGTGGGTGGAGGAGGGTGGGTGGAGGAGGGGAGATGGATGAGGTGATGGAGGAGGAAGGGATGGAGGGAGGGTGGATGGAGGAGGGTGGGCGGGAGGAGGTGGATGGAGGACGGTGGATGGAGGAAGGTGGATGGAAGAGGTGGATGGAGGAGGGTGGATGGAGGAGGGTGCATGGAGGAGAAATGGATGAAGGAGTTGGATGGAGGAGTTGGATGGAGGAGGGGAGATGGAGGGTGGGGGGATGGAGGAGGAATGGACAGAAGAGTAATGGATGGAGGAGGGTGGATGAAGGATGGAGATGGGAGCTGGGGTGGATAGAGGAGTTGATGGAGGAGGGTGGATGGAGGAGGAAGGGATGGAGAGGATGGAGGAGGGTGGATGGAGGACGGTGGAGGAGGAAGGTGGATGCAAGAGGGTGGATGGAGGAGGTGGATGGAGAGGGTGGGATGGAGGAGAAATGGATGAAGGAGCTGGATGAGGAGTTGGAGGAGGAGGGGGAGATGGAGGGTGGGGTGGATGGAGGAGGAATGACAGAAGAGACATGATGGAGGAGGGTGGATGAAGGATGGAGATGGGAGCTGGGTGGATAGAGGAGTTGGATGGAGGAGGGTGACGGAGGAGTTGATGGAGGAGGTGGATAGAGTGATGTGGAGAGGAGGGTGGATGAAGGAGGAAATGGATAGAGGAGGGTGGATGGGGGAGCTGGATGGAGGAGATGGAGGAGGTGGATGGAGGAGGAAATGGATGAAGGAGTTGATGGAGAGGAAATGAATAAAGAGGATGATGGAGGAGGGTGAATGGAGGAGGAAAATGAATGGAAGAGGATGGATGGAGAGGGTAAATGGGAGGAGGAATGAATGGAAGAGGGTGATGGAGGAGGTGAATGAGGAGAAATTAATGGAAGAGGGTGGATGGAGGAGGGTGGATGGAAGAGGATGGATGGAGGAGAAATGGATAAAGGAGCTGGATGGAGGAGTTGGATGGAGAAGGGTGGATGGAAGAGGAATGGACAGAAGAGGAATGGAGGAGGGAGGAGAGTGGATGAAGGATGGAGATGGGAGCTGGGTGGATGGAGGAGGGTGGATGGAGGAGGGTGGATGAAGGATGGAGATGGGAGCTGGGTGGGTGGAGGAGGGTGGATGGGGGCAAATGAATAAAGGAGCCACTGGGAGAGGGTGCTTTGGCATCCACATTGGAGTCAGGTCACCCCCATGTGCTCCTACCCGACCTTCCCTCTCTATTCCAGGCCCAGGGCAGTTACAGTGACAAATTCATCTAACCTGCCTCAGTTTCCATCACACTTCTTTTAGTGACCACCCCTTCAGAAAGGTGTTCTGAAATCACCTGACCCTTCTTTTTGGGTGAGGGGACTGAGGCCCAGAAGGTGTCATTGCCCTCCACCCCCTAAACCCCTTGTCTCCCCAAGGGGTTGCTGGCCTCCTCTTCTCTGATGTGTCCTCTCAGAGCATCTGGGGTCAACTGGGGCAGAGCCACAGTCCCCCCCACCCCCCAGCCCCTGGGGCCTGCCGGACACTTGTCACACTGCCACCACTGGGGCCTCTGTTAGCACTGGTGGAAACCCACACCAGTCCTGCCGCGCTGCGCAGGTGGCTCAGGTGGCCTCCAGAGAGCACGGCTCTGTCCTGGTTTTGCCCCGGTGCAGCAGTTTCAGGAAGTAGAATTCAGTCACTGCTGGAAGTCATGTATTTACTAAATGGTGTGCTTGCTAGACGACCAACGGGTCCTGGTTCAGCAGAAGGCTGTCTTTCTGGCTTGGCTTGAGAAGGTGGTGGTGCTCTGCTGGCTTCTCCACAGAAGGCGGGGCTCCACGGCCCGCAGCCCAGGAGTGCCGACTGCCTTGGTCTCCCGACTGCCTGGGTCTCCCACAGCTCCTTCAAGGCCGCTGGGTCGGCCTCAGCCTTTTTTGGGCCCATCCCTGCACTTCCTGCCTGGATGGCATCCGAGATTAGGCGATGGGGAGGGCAGCCGCTCTGCTGGTGTCCCAGCCTCCACAAGCCCCTGGCACAAGGGAACAGCCCCGCCCAACCTCCTGGGAGTCTCTGACACTGTTCCTGCCCAGCCATTCTGGGGTCCCATGCGTGGGCTTTCTGTCCAAGCAGCGCCTCTGCCTTCTGTCCCCAGACCCCGTGGTAGTGGAGGACGGGTTGCGTTAGGCTCGCCATGTCCTTCCCATCCACAGTCCCCTCCTGCCTGCGCCTGGGCGCCCCCTGCCCAGCGCATGAAAACCCAACCCTGCCACCTTCCCGGCTCCTGGGTGTGCAGCTTCAGGAGCTGGTTTGGGAGCTCGGGGTCGGGACTGGAGCATGTCTCTGTCTTAAGCCTCTGGGAGGGTCTGGTGACAGCAGGGGGTGCTCATCTCTCATCACTGGAGCTGTCTCCCCTCCAGGCCTCTGAGGGAGAGCAGGCTGTCAGCTGTGGGCCGGGGGAGGCCATGTGCCTGCTGCAATATTGATGGGAATGCAATCCGCAGGGGCTGCTCGCACTGGCCGCCTCTGAGCTGGCCTCAGAAGAGGTGGTAAAATCCATCATCTTCCCCAGGACAACACAGCGTGTCTCCGCCCCCAGGGAACTCGTGCATTCCAAGAGCAACAGCAGCTTGGGGAGCAATGCTGGACAGCAGTGCTGAGACCTGCCCTGTGGGAGGTGCCCCCTCGTGCCTCCTTTGTGTTGGGTCTGTGGGGCCTGCCCAGCTTGGAGTCTGCTCAGGGTGCTAGGGAAGGCCAGCCCTGCCCCTCCCTGGGCCTTGGGGACCCCTCTGCACGCAATGAGAGATGGGGTCTTGAAGTCCTGGGGCTGCCCTCGAGGCAGGCCCCCTCCCCTCTGCTAGCCAAGCAACTGGGATCCTGCCTGTGGGGCTCTGAGCGCCCTGTCTGGGCAGGGACGGCGCATAGAACCCTCCATGCTTGGGGAAGAGCCTCTGGCACCTCTCGTGGTGTCCAGGGCTGTCCCACTCACCCCCACCTGCCAGCACTGTGCTGCCCTTCCTGGGCATGGGGCACTGGCAAGTTCTGAGCGTCTCTAAACCCCAATTTTCTCACCACAGGGTCTCTCTCTGTCACCCAGGCTGGAGTGCAGTGGCACAGTCTCAGCTCACTGCACCCTCAGCCTTCCAGGCTCCAGTGATCCTCCCACCCCAGCCTCCCAAGTAGCTGGAACTACAGGCACATGCCACCACACCAGCTAAGTTTTGTACTTTTTGTAGAAATGGGGTTTGGCCATGTTGGCCAGGCTGGTCTTGAGCTGGGCTCTAGTGATCCTCCCACCTCTGCCTCCCAAAGTGCTGGGACTACAGGCGTGAGCCATCACAGCCGGCCCAGGGCCTTGTTTTTTGGGTAAAGGAGAAGCTCCTCGAGCACCCAGTGAGGCACCTGCCCTGGTGGGCCCTCGGGACAGGTGTGCTCTCCCCCCTTCGGTCCAGAAACGTACTAAGACGTCTTTATTTTATATACGAGGAAACTGAGGCCCAGAGAAGGTGAGAGGCTTCCTGGGCACTCTCCTCCTGCTGGGAAGGGTGGTACCCGCCCAGTCAGTAATGGAATCTCAGCCATGGCAACTGCTGTCCGGCACCCATCCGTGGTCCGTGATTCTCTCTGCCCGGGTGGCATTACAGGCCTGTGACCTGGCTCACAACGATGCTCTCCATGTATAATGCATGGAGCCTCCGCGGTGCTCAAATCTCACCAAAAACCAGGGACAGGGACAGCGGGCTGGGCTGTGGGGCCACATGACCACCAACCTCAGGGCAACTGTCCAGTGCTGGGATTCGGGGCAGCACGTGTCTAACTGTTAAAACCCCAAGGGACAGGACTCCCACGTCTGTGCCTCCAGATCCCTGAGGCTCCACTGTGTCCAGGGCCTTCCTATGGGAGGCAGGGGTGTGGTTACTCCCGTTGCCGGGTCAACGCCACAGCCAGGCTTCTCATCCCTGTTAAAACCCAGAGACCATCCTAATACCGACGGTGGCAGCAGCTCGGAGGTCTGAATGCCACCGTCATGCAGGCCCTTGCCAGGTGCTCTCCATAGTCCCTCAACTTTCCAAGAACCCTGATTTATAGGCAAAGAAATGGAGGCTCAGGGGGTGGCGTCCTGGGGCTTCTCGCTGGTGAGGAGTGGAGCAGGGCTGGACCACAGGGACCTCGAGTAAGGTCCCCCAAGCCACAGGTGCTGTGCTGGGGCCAGAGTCCGGTAGTCCCCTGAGCCCCAAACTAACTTCCACCTCTTTTGTCTTCCCCAGCACAAGAGGGCCGCTGCCATCCTGCCAAGCCCCTCACTCTGCCAGGGGTGGCCCCTCCCCACTGACAGCAGGTTTGATCTCAGGGAGGGGGCTCAGGGCTCCCAGGCAAGGGCAGAGAGGAGGCGAGAGGCACCATCCCACTCCTGGCTCGGTCCTGGCTGGGCAGGGGACAGTGCAAGGGCATTGGGGTGGCCTTGCTGTTGAGGGCCCACTCGAGGCAGGGCTTAGCCACCTCTGTTGGTGATACCACTTGTGTCCGGCTTTTCTGGCCGTGTCTGGTCTGGAGTCTGACTGCCCTGCTTGAAGCGGCGAAGCCAGCCTCTCACTATGACCTTCCTTCAGCATGGCAGGGAGCACACATCATGTTTTGTGGCGTTCCCTTGCCCCGAGTCCCAGGTGGTGCGAGTCGGGTCCCGATGGCAACTGTGCTGCATAGGTTTGTATCTCCGCCGAGGACCCGTGAGTCGGGGGAACACCGTGTTGCTCAGCAGAGGGCAAGTCGCTCCCCGTCGTCCCTCCGTCGCTCCCCGTCCCTCCGTCGCTCCCCGTCCCTCCGTCGCTCCCCGTCCCTCAGTCTCTCCCTGCACACACAGCCCTGAGAAGCGGCCCAGAAAGGACAGCCAGGCTTTGTGTTCTTGGTCTTTCCCCAGAGGCTGACCTCTGTGGTGTCCCCCACCAAGGAAGCAGCTGTTCAAGGGCACTGGAGGGAGCAAAGGCTGAGGTCTCCCGTGAGACTCTCATCCCAGCTCTGCGGCAGCCTGGCTGCGGGGCCTTGAGAAGGCCCCACTGCCCTCTCTGAGTCTGTTTCCCCATCTGTGCTCCGGGAGCCGCACTGTGGGTGGGGCCGGGGACTCCTCTGGATGGTTTCTCTTCTCATGGGGCCCAGAGGTCTCAGGTCCCCTTCGGTCTCCCAGAGCGTCCCCTCCCCGGCCGCTGCTCTGTGGAGAGTTAAAGGGGCCGTGGTAAGGAATCCCGCACCCAGCGCAAGCCCCGCCTGGCCACCTGACACCTCGGCCTTCAAATATTCATGTGACACCTCCCACTCCTGGGGGCGGCATTCTCAGCAGCCCCCGGCATCCCAGGACAGCTGTACTCCCTGAGCTCTGCAGTTCGCGTCTGAGGTCCTCCGGGGCTGGGGCTGGGCGGTCACTCCCCAGCCCACCGTGCACCAGAGTTCCTGGGCTGTGGGCACAGATTCCTGGAAGGAGTGAGGTGCGTGCGGGCTGGGAAGATGGGCTTTCAGACTGTGTTCCCTCCCCCGTGGCCCAGTGGGGTGAGGGTCCTGGAGGGGGGTGGCTGAGGGGCCACCCAGCATCCTTGCCAGGAGGCAGCCTGTGCCACCTTGTCCATGAGCGAGGGAGGCTTGGGGAGGCCAAAGTTTTGCTCACGTAGGACCGGCTTCACTGCAGTCCGGCCCCAGTGCAGTGTGAAAAGGGGTCCCTGCGTTCAGAAAGGAGAAGGAATTCGAAGGCAGAGACAGCCGTGCATTCGAGCAAGCTGCAGCAAGGGTCCCTCCCACTCTCCCAACAGGCTGACGTGAATTCTCTGCTCTGCCCAGGGCTCTCGCGAGCACTGACCCTGGAGCCCTGATGGCCACGTCTGGTTTCCAGTGCCCACTGGAGGGCAGGGACAAGAGCTTTGGTCTGACAGGCACAGTGGGGGAGGTGCCCAGAGGGTCGGTGGCATGTGGCCCTGCTGGCTAGGGACAAGGGCTGCCCATGCCCTTGGCTGGTGGGCACATTAGGGACCCCCATCCTACTCCACTGCCCTCCCCTCTCCTCACCAGGTTTCTCACAGGGCCTCCACCCCCAAGACACTGACCCGTGTCAGCCCCAAGTCAGGGCTGAAGTTCCAGGCGGACTACAGCACAGGAGTCAGGGCAGTCGGGGAGGCGGGTGTGTGGAAGAGTGTACATGCATGTGTGCAGGAGAGTACATGCGTGTGTGCAGGAGAGTACATGCATGTGTGTGCATACGTGTGCACGTGTCTTTCTGAGACCACAGGGCGCTGAGCACAGCTGAAAACCAGGCTCTAACCCAGTGCCCAGAACCCCAGAGCTCAGCTGCCTCCAGAGGGAGCCTGGAAGCTGAGTTTTGAGATGGGGGTGGCCCACTCAATAGAGGTGGCAGCAGGTGGGGAACCAAGGCGGGGTGCTGGGAAGTGATGGCACTCAGGCAGGAGATGACCCTGCGACAGAACCCTGATCAAGGACCTGCCCCTCTTTCTTACCACCTCCTTACCTGTCCCAGCCCTTCTCAGATGCACAGGCTCGCCCACTGGGTGCTCCCACCCCGTCTAGGTGAGTAGGGAAGAGCCCACAGGGGCCCCCCACTGACCAGGTCCATCCACCCACAGGTGCCCCTGCTGATGACGCCCCCACCACCGCCGTTCCCCCCACCTCCACTGTTGGCCATGAGGCGCTCCCTGGAGGATGGAAGAAGAGGAGGCCCAGGGCCCGGGAACCCCACCTGTGAGTGCACAGCCCCACTTGGGCTGGCTGGGGCATGGGCCTGGGAGTGGGTGCCACTGGCCTCCCCTCCAAGGTCCTGGACTGGTGGGGAAGTCTGCGGGCAGCCGGGCACCCCATCACCCTCCCTCCCCAGTTGCTTCCGGGTGTCCTTGGCTGCCTTTGTTGCTTTGGAAAGCAGAGGATTAGCATTTTGCATAGTGAGCACTTACAGTCACAGCAACTTGTCCAGGGGTGAACACGGGGAGACGGGCCGGTTGGGCCCAGGCCCCTTGTGGATGGGCTGCTGTCCCTGAGACCCCAGCACACCTTGCATGTGTGGGCTAGCAGGGCAGGGGACGGTCCTCACACTGTGGGCCACCACCATTAGGGGTCTGTGAGCAGCACTGATTGGAATGGCATGGAATGGCATGGCATGGCAAGAAAACATCAGCAGGTGCCACAGGTAGTGAGGGCAAGCTTCCTCCACAGGCCCCGCTGTGGCCCTGTATTCACACGTGGGAGTGTGCGTCTGTGTGTGGTTGTGTCTGTGTGTTCTGTGTGTGATACACATAGATACGGGGACCCTTCTCTTTGTGTGACTGTGTCTGTAGCTGTGTATGATTGTGTCCGTGTGATTGTGTCTGTATCTGTGTGTGATTGTGTCTATGTGTGTGTCTCTCTGTGATTGTGTCTGTATGTAGTGATTGTGTGTTCTGTGTCTGTATCTGTGTGATTGTGTTTGTGTTCCTGTGCATGATTATGTCTGTGTATCTGTGTGTGATTGTGTGTCTGTATGTTTGTGTTTGTGTGTCTGTATGTTTGTGTTTGTGTGTCTGTGATTGTGTGTGACTGTGTGTGTCTGTGTGATTGTGTGTCTCTGTATGATTGTGCCTGTGTATGTGTGTGATTGTGTCTTTCTAATTGTGTCAGTGTGTGATTGTCAGTGTGTGATTGTGTGTATCTGTGTGATTGTGTGTGTGTGAGTCTGTTCTGTGTCCGTTTCTGTGTGTGATTGTGTCTATGCATCTGTGTGTGATTGTACCTGTTTCTGTGGGTGATTCTGTTCATGTGTGTCTCTGTGCGATTGTGTCTGTGTCTGTGTGCTTGTGGGTGTCTATTCTGTGTCTTTCTGTGTGATTGGTCTGTGATTGTACTGTGTGTGATTGTATGTGATTGTGTATGCTTGTGTCTGTGTGTGTGTATGACTGTGTATCTGTGTATCTGTGTGTGATTGTGTCTGTGTGATTGTGTTTGTGTGTCTGTTCTGTGTCCGTGTGTTTCTGTGATTGTGTGTGTGTGTCTGTGTGTGATTGTATCTGCATGTGATTGTGTGATTGTGTCCGTGTGTGTCTGTGTCTGTGGTTGTGTGTGTGATTGTGTCTGTGTCTGTGTGATTGTGTCTGTGTGTGATTGTGATTGTGTCTGTGTCTGTGTATGATTGTGTCTGTGTGATTGTGTCTGTGTGTGTGTTTGTGTGTCTGTGTTCTGTGTATGTTTCTGTGATTGTGTCTGTGTGTGTGATTGTGTCTGTGTGTGTGATTGTGTCTGTGTGATTGTGTCTGTGTGTGTGATTGTGTCTGTGTATGATTGTGTCTGTGTGATTGTGTCTGTGTGTTTGTGTGTCTGTGTTCTGTGTAGGTTTCTGTGATTGTGTCTGTGTGTGTGATTGTGTCTGTGGGTGATTGTGTATGTGATTGTGCTTGTGTGTGATTGTGTCTGTGTGATTGTGTGTGATTGTGTCTGTGTCTGTGATTGTATCTGTGTGTGTCTCTGTGTGTCTGCCTGGCTGTGATGCAGACGTGTTCTTCACTCAAGGTTGACACTGAAGTATGTGTTTGCATCGGGGCAAGGAGCATTGTGGGCAGCGAGGGGACCAGCTTTGGGGCCTGCAGAGCTATGTTAGCGGCCTGTGACCTCCAGGCCTCAAGCCCTTCCCAGCTCCTCCCCTGCTGCAGGAGAGGCTGCGGCATGGCCCAGGGGTGTGCCTCAGGCTCTCCAGTGGGCCAGGCCGACTCCCCAGAGAAGGTCCAGTGGGGCCCTGAGGTGTTCTGGGGCAGGGCAGGCTGGGGTTGGCTCCCAGCTCGCAGCTCGTTCATGAGGCCGGCTCTGCCCCAAGGCCTAGACCCCCGAGGCGCTGCGTCTCTGCTCCCCAGCCCTTGCCCTTTCGGCAACACCCCCTTCTTCTCGGCAGCCACATCCCTCAGCCCGGCCTGGCCTGGCCATCCTGACCAGCCTCTTCCCAGGGAGCAGGTGACCAGCCCAGCCCCTCCGAGGATCACCACCAGTGCCATGGCTGACCCTGCGGTGCGTCACCCACCCGTGCATTCCTGTCTCCCGGGGCCCCCAGCCAGCCTCCATCCCCATCGTCTTAGGGGCCCCGGGAAGCCCCCAGCACAGCCAGGCCTTTCCTGAAGGGTGGATGCCAGGCTGCCTGCGTCACCCCGCTGCCTGCTCTCAAGAACACCTTGAGTTCTGAGGAGATGGGAGTGTCGGGGCGACGGCAGCTGTCCCCCCACCACAGAAACACGGGGACCCTTCTCTGTCATCCCAGAGGGCTGCAGTGGCCCAAGCCCCTCTGCCCGACCTCTGAGCTCAGGGGTGCTCCGTGCCTGCTTGGAGTGCGGAGATCGCAGCAGCCAGCCATGGGCAGGGCCCCGCTGCCCCTGTCCTCCTCCTCAAGGCCTCCGCCAGCCCAGACCAACAGAAGGGTCCTGCTCCCCCTTACCCTCCCTTTCCTGGGCACCAGGCCCTTAGAAAGCCAGCGCAGCCTTTCCCTGAGTGGTACTGCAGATTCTCAACCACTGAGATGTTCGGTAGGAGTGGGAAATGCCACGTGGCGCTGCCCGTCCTGGAGAGCTGGAGTGTGCACAGCACACTGAAGCCTCTGACAAGCCCTGCGGCACAGGACTGGCTGCCAGGCTTTGTCTATGTAGCTGTGCCCAGAGCAAGTTTGCCCAGGGACATGGTGTGCTCCGCGAGCATCAGCTGGGCTTGTATAGGGGACTGGGAGGGACCTCTGGTTTCATTTCTCCGCTAACAATCCCCTCCCACACATCTTACCCCCGTCCCACTCCCATCCCTCCCCTCCGTGGCCTCACTCTTAAGCTGGGGATGAGAGGGTGGGGTGCTGTCCGTGACCCCAACTGTCCCTTCTCTCAGGGCGCCCTGTTAGAGTCTCCTGGGCGGAGCCAACCCCCCATGTCCTCGCGGATCTTCCCTCCACTTAGGGCCTGGGTCCCCTTCAGGCCCGTGTGACCCACTCCCTTCTGCACAGGGGACAGAGACTGCGCTGGCGGGGGACGCCTCAGATGGCCTGGCGGCACTGCAGCTGGATGGGCCGCCCTCAGGCGACATCGACGGGTTGGTGCCCACGCGGGATGAGCGCGGCCGGCCCATCCCAGAGTGGAAGCGGCAGGTGATGGTGCGGAAGCTGCAGGCGCGCCTGGGCGCAGAGAGCTCCGCAGAGGCCCAGGTAGGCCCAGGGAGGTCCAGGTAGGCCCCGGGGAGGGGCGGGGCCTTTTCCGGGTAGGTGGAAGTGGAAGTCAGAGCACCCGAAGCCCAGAAATAAATCCAAGACCCAGGGGCCCCTCTCCTCTGTGGCCTCAGCTGCTGCTTCCGCCAGAGGATGAAGTGAACCAGACCAGAGGACTCTGAGCAGAGCCCGTTCACCTGCTCTGGAGGCATGGGTCCCACGTATCCTTCCACTTGGCGGATGCGTGGCACATGCCTGCCTGTGCCAAGCGTTGTTCTAGGCAGTGAAGGGCAAGCCCTGCCCCCCTGAGCGCAGAGTTTAGCAGGGAAGACGGTGGCCCATGGGCAGGTGCCAGCAGGTGTGGGGGTCCGATTCCCACTGCTATGGAGAAAGCAAAGTGGTTGGGGGACTATGATAGATGGGTGCTTACGGGGCCCCCTCTGGGTACGTGGCCTTGAGCAGGGGCCAGAGGGAAGAGAGGTGGAGCCCTGTGGGAATCTGGGGCAGGTACCTCCTAGGCAGAGGGAGCAGCCAGTGCAAGGGTCCTGAGGCCCGGCCGGCCTGGGGAGAAGCAAGAGGAGGCGCCCTGGCGTGGAATGGGCGCCTGAGGTTGGAGAGGAACCTAGCTGGGATTATTGCACCTCTGTGAGGCCATGGGGAGCCACTGAGAATCTGAGCAGAGAAAGGCTGTGATGTGCCTTGGATTTTAACAGGCTCCCCCTGCTGCTGTGCAGACAGGAGTTCAGGAATTGTACCCTCAGAGGCCTACGATTTTGTCAGGACGATTGCGTCCTGCATCCCCAGTCTAGCTCTGTGCTGTGCAGCACAATCACGCCAGCCACATGCAGCCATTGACATTCACTACAATTTAAGGGAAGTAAAAGTCCTGCCCCTCCATCGCACCCGCCGCCTGCCGTTTCTGTAGCCACCGGTGGCTCCTGGCTGCTGGAATACAGCCCGTCTCCATCATCTCAGGACTGTGGGACAGCCCTGTCTGAGGGCCCAGCCTGTCCTTGCCTATTGGGCTGGGAGCCATAGGGGCTGAAAGCCACAGGGTTGAGAGCAGAGCAAGACTGGGGCAGAGCAGGTCAGAGGCTTCTGCGCTAGCTGGGAAGCCCTTTAAAGTCTTACCTTGGGGCAGGACCAGGGGCTCTGCAGAGATGCTGAGAACTCAGGGATTTGGAAGCTAGGTGGGCTGATGGCAGGTGGGCGGGCTCACCCTGCTCACCCTGCCCTTCCTGTGCCCAGGACAATGGTGGGAGCTCAGGCCCCACAGAGCAGGCGGCCTGGAGGTACTCACAGACCCACCAGGCCATCCTGGGGCCCTTTGGGGAGCTACTGACGGAGGACGACCTGGTCTACCTAGAGAAGCAGATTGCAGACCTGCAGCTTCGGCGCCGCTGTCAGGAGTATGAGAGTGAGCTGGGCCGGTTGGCGGCTGAGCTGCAGGCCCTGCTGCCCAAGCCCCTGGTCAGCATCACAGTCAACAGCCACTTCCTGCCCAGGGCGCCCGGACTGGAGGCTGAGGAGGCCTCAACCCCAGCAGCTGAGCCCACAAGCTCTGCGGAGGCCTCGGAGGTGGCCCCCGGGGGGCAGCCTCTGCCCTTCTGGTGCAGCCACATCTCCCGCCTGGTGCGCAGCCTGTCCCTGCTGCTGAAGGGTGTGCATGGGCTGGTGCAGGGGGATGAGAAGCCGGCCACCCAGCCCCTGCAGGAGACCTGCAGGGAGGCCTCGGCCAGCCCCCCTCGGAGCGAGGCCCAGCGCCAGATCCAGGAGTGGGGGGTGTCTGTGCGGACGCTGCGCGGCAACTTTGAGTCGGCCTCCGGCCCACCCTGTGGCTTCAACCCTGGCCCCTGCAAGCCAGGGACCCAGCGCAGGCAGTGCCTGGGTGGCTGCTGGCCGGCCCTGCCTAAGCCCTGCAGTGGCCTGGCTTCGGGGGAGCCCAGGCCGGGCGACACAGAGGAGGCCAGTGACTCCGGCATCAGCTGCGAGGAGGTGCCATTGGAGGTGGGCGCTGCAGCCGGCCCGGACCTGGCCAGTCTGCGCAAGGAGCGCATCATCATGCTCTTCCTCAGCCACTGGAGGAGGTCGGCCTACACGCCGGCCCTCAAGACAGCAGCCTGCAGGACCCTAGAAGCCCGCCATGCGGGGTTTCGGGGCAAGGAGGCCACCAGGAGCCCTGGACCACCCTCCTTGCCTGGCGAGGGCCCCCGGATGGGCCACCTGTGGCAGCAGCGCAGCACCATCACCCACCTGCTGGGCAACTGGAAAGCCATCATGGCTCACGTGCCCACCCGGCAGCTGCGGCGGCTAAGCCGGCGGCCCCGCGGGGCCCTGTCCCCCGAGCAGTTCCTGCCCCACGTGGACGGGGCTCCCGTGCCCTACAGCAGCCTCTCGCTGGATCTCTTCATGCTGGGTTACTTCCAGCTCCTGGAGTGCGACCTGCCGGCTGAGGAGCGGAAGGTGCGCCACCTGCTCTGCTTCGAGGTCTTTGAGCACCTGGGCACCCACGGCTGGGAGGCGGTGCGCGCCTTCCACAAGGCTGTGACCGACGAGGTGGCCGCCGGCCGCCGGGCCTGGACCGACGGCTTCGAGGACATCAAAGCCCGCTTCTTCGGCTCCAGCCAGGGTCCCGCCTGGGATACGGAGCCTGGCCGCAAGTCAGGCCTGACCCCGCTCGGGCCCCTGCCGCATGCCGCCGTCCCCTGCAGCGGCCCTGAGCCCACAGCACAGCGGCTGGGGTCTCGCTCCCAGCGGGGCAGCTTCAACAGCGAGGACATCTGCGGCTACATCAACCGGAGCTTTGCCTTCTGGAAGGAGAAGGAAGCTGAGATGTTCAACTTTGGAGAATGACCCAGCTGGCAGCCTGCTTTCCAGAAGGTGGTTTGGGGGTAACTTGGGGTTTCTCTTTTCCTTGCTCACACCCTTGGTGGCCGGGTGAGCTGGGCAAGGCTGCCTCCAGGCCTGCGGGTTATCGGAGGCTGCGGGACTCTTCTGTTGTGGCATGCTTCTCCTCCGAGTTGGGACTCAGACTCCTTCTCACCACTGCACCCAGGAAGCCCCTGGGCAGGCCCTGAAGTTAGGCAATGGGCCACCCCAGCCCAGGGCACCTCTGCCCGGCCAGCCCCCGAGACCTGGGATGCTGCCTGTTTCCCACTTGTCCTTCCCCAGCGCCACCAGTTACCTGGGCGTCCTGTCCCTCAGTTTCTCTGGTGCTGGTGGCCTCGGCCACATCCACCTTCCATGTGAGCCTGAGGTGGCCCCAGGTCCTGGTCCTGCCCCTGTTTCTCCTGCTGAGCTTGGGCCACACCCCTTCACCTCCCACCTGTGAATGGTGGGGAGCTGGAGTGATTCCGAGAACAGATTCCATGGGGAGGAGACCTTCCTGCCAGGCCGTCCTTGCTGGTCACACACCAATGCCCGCCAGGCCAGTGCCCCACTCCCAGGGTGCTCCAGAGACCCTGCTCCCTCAAAGGAAGGCTCCCCATGGGGCCCCGTCCTCCAGCTGACGAGCCTCAGCCTAGTCATGGGCCCTAGCAAGGCCGGTGAGCAGGGACGTGGGAGTAGCAGTGGCTGAGAGTCCTCCAGACAGGGTGGCTGGCGTCCACTCTCAAAGGCTGCTGCACACAGAGGAGAATGCCAGCAGGGGTGGGCAGCAGCCGGACCTTGGTGGGGCATGGCTACTCCGTGAGGGCACTTGGGTGTCACCCACAGTGCACCTCTTCACGGGGGCCTGGGTACTGGAGGGAGGGATACAGGAAGGGAGATGGATTCCATCCTCGGGGGCTCTGGGTGCTTCCGAGTATCCCTGGACATGGTGCTGGGCATGGCTGGCATAGGGTGTGGTTTGTCCCCAGCTCCTGATGGCAGCCAGGAGAATGGGTCATCACCCAGGCTCTGGGGCTGAGGAGGGCTGGGCCCAAGCCCACAGTGACTTTGGGGGTGGGGCTCTGCAGCTGTGAGATGGCCCAGCAGGGAGTGGCAGGGAGGGGAGGCTTCAGGAATATTCTTCGTGGCATCCAGGCCCTCTGGGACAGAGGAGGGTGCAGTCAGGGGACAGGCTTGTCAGGGGTCCCCGCCTCGATCCCGGGGATTGTCCAGGCAGAACCTGGAAGGCAGCAGGCAAGCTGTTAGATGGAACAGAGAGACCCTCGAGGCTGACTGGGGCCCAAGGGGAGGGGCGCTGAAGAAGATGTAAAATTGGCCGGGCGCGGTGGCTCACGCCTGTAATCCCAGCACTTTGGGAGACCGAGGTGGGCGGATCATGAGCTCAGGAGATCGAGACCATCCTGGCTAACACGGTGAAACCCCATCTCTACTAAAAATACAAAAAATTAGCCGGGCGTGGTGGCGGGCGCCTGTAGTCCCAGCTACTCGGGAGGCTGAGGCAGGAGAATGGCGTGAACCCGGGAGGCGGAGCTTGCAGTGAGCCGAGATCGTGCCACTGCACTCCAGCCTGGGCGACAGAGCAAGACTCCGACTCAAAAAATAAATAAATAAATAAAAAAGAAGATATAAAATTGGGGGGGTGGTATTGGCCGTCAGAGTGGGCAGGGCCGGGAAGGGAAGTAGTACCCGCCCCAGCCCCAGCCCAGTGGCTTTTCCCCAAGAGCCTGCTCTGCAGCCGGCCTGCTCCGGCTTCCTCCACTGCTGAAGACCCTGCCATAGAGCTGAAGCTGAACGTGTGTTTTCTAAATAAAGATTCCCATTCCTAGCCCACCCCCTCTCTTGTACTTGTTGTTTACTCATCCCTGAGAGCCGCCTGTGCCCTCACAGACCCCGGTACCAAACCCGAGTCTCAGCTCAGCTCTGCGGAAATATCAGGGCCATTGTCCTTGGTCCCTCAGAGCCTCTGGTTTCTCATCTGCAGCATGGGACACATACGGAGCTCACGCTCCTGGGGTTGCAGTGAGGGAGGACGGAGGTCCCACATGGGAGGGGCCTCTGCTGGGGAATCAGCATCGTCTCAGACACTCACCAACATGCAGTGAGCACTTCAGAGTTCCTTCTCTCTCTTTCTTTCTCTTTCTTTCCTTTCTTTCTCTTTTCTTTCTTCCTTTTCTTTTTCTTTTCTTTTTTTCCTTTCTTCCTTTCTTTCCTTCCTTTTCTTTTCTTTCTCTCTCTTTCTCTTTCTTCTCTTCTCTTCTCTTTTCTTTCTTTCACAGGATCTAGCTCTGTTGTCCAGGCTGGAGTGCAGTGGTGCAATCTCGGCTTATTGCAACTCCTGCCTCCTGGCCTCAAGCAATCCTCCCACCTCAGCCTCCCGAGTGACTGAAACTAAGGTGTCAGCCACCACGCCCAGCTAATTTTTTTTTTGTATTTTTTGTAGGGACAAGGTCTTGCTATGTTGCCCAGGCTGGTCTTGAACTCCTGGGCTCAAGCAATCTGCCCACCTCAGCCTCTCAAAGTGCTGGGATTACAGGTGTTTTAGAGTTGTTTCTAATGAGCAGGGCACTGGGAGCAGCCGGGAGCATCCTGAACGCTGCTTCTCCGTCAGTAGGGCCCTGGCTCTTGGCTACAACACGCGCCCAGTGGAGACCAACGAGGCTGCTCCACCCAGTACAGCCACTGCCCAGGGCTGGCAGAGGGCAAGGGGCAGCAGGTGGGTCTAGGGAGAGCCCTTGGCTGGGGGTGTCAGAAGGTTTGGATGCTCTGGTGTCTCCTGGAGTCCCCTCACGCACCGCTTGCTGGCAGTGTTGTTCTGAGGGCCCTGACAGAGGAGGGGCTGGAGGTGAGGGCAACAGGCCTCAGGTTGCTCCCCGGCTGAGGGTGCTCAAGAGAGAGCACTGGGCAGGGAGTCAGCCCTCCTGGCTCCGGGTGTCCCTGCTAACTCGCTGTGGCCTTGGGCAAGTCTTCCATAGCCTCCAGGCCTGTTTCCCGACTGAGGAGCTGGATCAAGGCCAACAGCAGACACACGCATCAGGGGTCCCAGGAGAGCCTGGGGTGGAATGCCAGGCGAGGGGTGAGGTGTGGCTCAGATCCAGGCTGGGCCCCTGGAGTGCTGCTGGGATGCCCTGGGGTGACCCCTAAATGACTTTCTGCCAATACCCTGCCTCTGGGGGAGCTGCCTCAGGGATTCTGATTCCCTTGGCCTGGGGTGGGTCTGGAAAGCTGGGGTTTTAAGACATTTCAGGTGATTCTGATGCCCAGCAGCTGGAACCCGTGCCCACCAGCAGCTCACCCGTGGGGAGCACGTGTCCCCGGAGCAGGCAGGCACTGGCCCCTGCAATGCCACACTCACAGCTATAGGGCCCATTTGGTGCCTATAAATCTGTTGTTCAATTGACAAAAAACTAAGGACCAGAGATGGCAGCCACAGCACCCTGGAGGTGCCGACATCAGTGAGGTGGCCACATGCAAAGCAAAGGCGCAAAGCCTGGGGACTTCCCAATGAGTCAAAAACATCCAGGGGAAAGGGAGCCCTGTGTCCCCAGCCCATAGATGAGGGCAGGATGGAGATGTGGAAAAACAGAAACCTTCCCCCAGGGCAGGGCAGGAACCCCAGCTTCTCCCTCACAGCTGGGTCAGTGTGCAGAGGGCAGGCTCCCTGCATGTCGGTGCACAGATTTAATGCAAAGCCTAACTCATTTAAAAATTTAATGTCAGCTGGGCACAGTGGCTCACGCCTGTAATCCCAGCACTTTGGGAGGCCAAGGCAGTTGGATCACGAGGTCAAGAGATCGAGACCATCCTGGCCAACATGGTGAAGCCCCGCCTCTACTAAAAATACGAAAATTAGCTGGGTGTGGTAGTGGGTGCCTGTAATCCCAGCTACTCGGGAAGCTGACGCAGGAGAATTGTTTGAACCCAGGAGGCAGAGGTTGCAGTGATCAGAGATCGCACCACTGCACTCCAGCCTAGTGATAGAGCAAGACTGCATCTCAAAAAAAAAAAATAATAATAATGCCTCTGAATTAATGCCTCTGAAGGCCATTTAAAAGAAGAAATGAACGAAGCCTGCCATGGAGGCCAGCCTGCACGAAGGCCCCCAGCAACCCCTGCCTCCGGGTGGTCACAGCATGCAGCCCCGTTCCACCCAGGGTACCCCAGAATAGGATGAAGCTGCAGACATCACTTCTGAGTGGGCTGCGAAAGGCGTCACGGCTCCATCTCTGCTGCTCGCCTTATTTCGGGGAAGCAGCCGCCTCGTGTTGGGAGCAGCTCTACAGAGGGACCCGTGGGGGCAATGGGTTCTCCAGCTCACAGCCCGAAGACCCTCCCGCCCCAGGCCAGCCTTCCGATGACTGCAGTTGGACTGAGCACGTCGTGGGACCCTCCTGAGACATCCTGAGGTGCAGCCACCCCACGCACGCACTCCCGAGGAGAAACGGAGAGACGACGCGTGTGTGCTGTCCAGGACATTGGATTTCGGGGCAGTTGATGGTGCGGTGTGAGATCACTAATGCGGCAGGGCAGCAGGGGCTTCCATCGCAGATAGAAGACGTCCTCATTACAGCGCGATATGCCGTCAAACAAGGTGGTTTTGACCCAAGAATCAACAAATCCCAACAGCGAATGCACAGAAAGTGGTGCCGCAGCCAGTCCGCAGGGAAGGAGCGGCGATCTGATAGGTGAGAGTGCTGGTGAAAGGGAAACAAGGACAGCCTGATGGAACCCAGGCCCCAAATCACCCCAGATGGATGAGAGGTGCTGTGCAGGGCTGTAAGGCCCCCGAGAGGCGGGCAGACTGACATGCGGACCCGGCCTGGGACGTCCTCACAGCTGGAAGGCCCCTGGCCTAGCAGAGGGGAGCTCACCCACACAATTTTTTATTTATTTTATTTTATTTTTTGAGATGGAGTCTTGCTCTATCACCCAGGCTGGAGTGCAGTGGTGCGATCTCGGCTCACTGCAACCTCTGCCTCCTGGGTTCAAGTGATTCTCCTGCCTCAGCCTCCGGAGTAGCTGGGATTACAGGTATGCACCACCACGCCCAGCTAATCTTTTTGTATTTTTAGTAGGGACAGGGTTTCACCATGTTGGCCAGGATGGTCTCGAATTCCCGACCTCAAGGGATCTGCCTGCCTTGGCCTCCCAGAGTGCTGGGATTACAGGCGTGAGCCACTGCACCCGGCCTCACACA